GGGGGGTGGGGAATGAAAAGCCTTCCCAGTGATGTCTACCTACATGTCGTGATTTCATTTCACACACATTGTTTCATTTTGTATACATCCATCGGGGGGCAAGAGCAGGCTTTTTACCGGCAGTCTTTCTCACCACTTTGTCCTGGGCTGTGCCGACACCAATCCTAATTTTCTTTTCTTTGTGCCTTCTCACACTTTTCAGCAGACTCTTTCTTTTCTATGCTCCCTTCAGTGTTTGAGCTCCTCAGCATTCTCTTCTCAGCCTGTGAACTCTCCTGTGTGGCCACGTTAAATTCATAGCTTCTACCACCCAAGTTTTATATCTCTTTCCCAGACCTTTTGCCCTGAATCCCAGACTCATGTGTCCAAGTCCACAAAGGACTTCTTCACTTGAATATACTGTAGGTGACTCAAACTCAATACATCTACAAGTGAACCTTGTCTTTCCATCTAAACTCTCCCCTTATTGTGTCACCGCAGTCTATCTTGGGGTCACCGAAACCCGATTCCTGCAATATATACCTGGAATTACCCTCTTTGTCTCTCACATACACTTAAAGTCCATTTTCCTTCCCTCTTCTCCACCATCCCTGCTTTTGCTTTGGTGGTTATAGCTAACATCTATTGAGCATTTGCACATGCTAGCTGCTGATAGAAATACATTACATATTTTAACTCATTTAATCTTTCAAACAACCCTTCTGTTGTTGTTGTTCCAATTTACAGATGAGGAAATTAAGAAACAGAGCAGTCTAGCCAGTTTCCCAAATGTTACAAGAGTAAACAGTAAAACCTGGACTTGAAACCAGGCAGTTGATATTAGAGTACCCTCTCTTAACTGCTATAACTTCCTATTTTATCCCTCATTAGTAATTTCATATGTTATTATAGAAGCCTTTCAAATGGTTTCTCTTTTCCAGTCCCACTAACTCCTATTCTAAATTCTGTCTTTTGTATGGATAACTCCCAGAAAGATCTTTCTGAAACGCATGCAGTCCAATCATATTAGTCTGCTGCCTGAAATCCATCAGGTTTCTCCATCACCTCCAGGCCAAAGCTCCAGCTCCTCCCAGATACATACGGTCCTCCAGGATCTGGCAGCTGCCGACCAATACAGCACCTTCTGAAACATCACCACAGACATGGTATCAGCAGCCATACAGGACAGCTTGCAGCTTCTGAACAGATCTTGCTCCCTCAATGTGCCTCACTCACAGCTCCTATTTCAAGTGCAGACTCTTAGGGAAATAGCTCAAGATCCTCAAGAGCAGAATAGGCGACCCTCTGTTTTACAGCTCTATTGACATATACTTTCCCTTCAGAAGTCCCCTAAGAGAAGTGCTGGATTTTCATATCTATGGTAGCTACCAAAGCGCTTGGTGCACAATCATCACTCACTGAGTTATTGCCAAATAAGGATGAAGTAAAGACTATAACTACTTCATTCCTTTGTATGCCATTCTCCTAAGAAAGCCTAGGAAAAGGAGATTGCTTGAATATCGTTGGTTTACCCTGGATTACTTACCTGCAGGAGATGTTCATTTTGGAGTGGGGTCAGAATAATTCAGAGGCCTTGTTATAAGGCACGGCACATCGTAGGCATGGAGATGAGAGTCTGGAAGTAAAGGAGAGGTGGGCCAACAAGAGGACACAGATACATGTCCATCAGTGAGGGGAACAAGGTTCAACACAGTAGTAGTGACACCAGGACTCAACATGTGTTCAATATTCTTGGGACTTGTTTTTAAAGGAGGTAACTAAGGACATTTAAAAAGGGTGCATTCTTTTTCTTTGGCCTTTTCTATGTCAGCTAATGCAGAAAGTCAGGTTGTAGAATTTTCTAAAAAGAAGCACATGATAGTTATTTTATAGGATTCTGGGGCCTTTGTGACAGGCATTGAGAGGTAAGATTACCTTCACTGGTCCCTTCGCCACTTCTAATCATCCCTTCAAACCCACCTACATTAGATAGAGCAGCTGTCCTTCACCACTGAAGAAAAGCAGCTGAGAGTTATGTTACCGTGGAAACAGAATTTTTTTTGCTGCTGCAAGTCACATCCCTTCATCTGCACTATTATAAAGCAGAATACATTGGTAGGGCTGGGAGGAAAATCAAATGTTCTGCCCGCCAGTGTTATACTTGGTTTTTGGGTGAATAAATGACTTTCAATTAGAGTACTTAAATGTCTTTTAACTTTAATAATTATTATTAGAACCCCAACAGAATTTTACTTGGAAAAGAGTAAAATTTTGACTCTGCTGTTAGGGGAGGTATAAATTCTTTTGAATGAGACCACTTCTGTTAAAGAAAATACAAAGGAATTTACAATTAATAGTTTCAGTGTATGTAAAATAAATGTCTTTGTCCTTTGTTTTTTGACTCTCTGACTTGGTCCTATTGTGGGTTTATGAGAGGGTCTTTACTGCTTTCTTTCTTTGTCTCTAAGCGGCTTTGTAGTGAACGTACATATTTACAACTTCATCTTGTGCTGGGCTGTGTGAATTCGGATCCTCTCTCCTTGACTTGTTCCTGAGCGTCCACTGAGCCTGGCGCTCAAAGCTGACTCTGGCCCTTAATTCCCTCTCCCAGCCACGGTCCTCTCTCCCATTCACCACCTGGCTCTGTCCCTGGGAAGCTCTTTTCATCTTATACCAATCCTAAATTTAATCACTATTCTATTTTATTTTCTCTTCTTTTAACTACCCCCATTTCCTATTGTTTGTGTCACTGTTTTGAAGGAAAAATCTACAAGACTTATAATGCTAGAGAGATCAACTCAGTACAATCTCAGGAACAAAACAAGAATTCCTTATCCCTTCACTTCTGAAGATCCTCACAGTTGCTGAGTTTCTGAGCAAGTCCAAAAAAAAGCACGAATAAAAACACATGCAGAGAGAGATGAACACAGATACATATACCCACTCACAGAGTCTAACTATAATCATAGGGAAATCCCATATAATGAAAAGGAAAAAAAAACTTTCATTTATTGGCTGGATATAAGTTAGAAAAATACTGGTGTTTTAATTCTAGAGATAGTAAAGTAACACTGAGAGACAAGTGATATTAACTGAGCAATTTGTCGGTGCCAGGCACTGTTTACACTCATATCTCATTTAATTCTCAAATTCATTGAGAGAGTTACTATCACTTATTCCCAGTTTACAAATGATATAATTGAGGCTCAAAGAATTATTTTAAAGCTGTTCCCGAAGCCACCATACAAACCCTACGTGACAGTGATTTCTGACTCTTTCCAACTGCATCCCTTTGCACAGGGCCCAGCAAGGCTCTTCTGAAGTGTGGAGGGCTGAAGCCTAACGAGACAATGAGAAAAGTGTGGCCTGTACTCCTGGGTTTGCCAACAACAAGTGATGTGAGATCAATGACAATTTGATAACATGAAATAAACACATTGCCTGCCACCTATAATCATACTATTTACATTGATTCTTCCACTAACACCAGTCATAGTGGCACTGGACTGGAAATTTAGGTTTTTGTTACTAAAACTTTGGGAAAATCATTTATTTCTTCAAGCTCATATTTTTCTATTCTCATTCAATAAAGATAAATGACTTCTTATCTGCCCATATACATAGGGAGTTGAGCAGTTAATGTGTGCAAAACATATTAAAAATGCAAAGAGCACTTCTCTTTCTGAAGGAAGAATGCCTTACCGGTCCAGATTAGTATGTTCAAGTCACTGCCAGCCAGCTCTGCCTCAATCATTATTAAATCCAAACCTGCAATGCTTTTGAGAGCAGACCCTATCACATATTTTTTGATGTGTATTGTAAATTATTTTAACATGATGCAGGGGTGGATAGTAGATGCTTAATACACATTTTTTAAGGGAAGGAGTGGGTGGTTAAATCAAAGCATTCTTTAGTGTCTTCGTGAGCCATCAGTCATAGACTCAGTTTTGTCATCCTATCAAATTAATTGCTTAAATGCTTAGACACAATTAACTCAAGTTGTTTTATGAAAAGACAGTCATCCAGGGGAGTCCAACCCACGGCCCGCAGGCTCCATGTCACTCAGGATGGCTATGAATGCAGCCTAACACAAGATCTTAAATTTACTTAAAATCTTTTTATGCTCATCAGCTTTTGTTACTGTTTGTGTATTTAATGTGTGGCCCGGAACAACTTTTTGTCTTCCAATGTGGCCCAGCGATGCCAAAAGTTTAGACACCCTGAGAACCCTTGTTAATAGTATGATCCAAATAATGTTATTGTTATATCCATTACTTTAACAGAAATAATGTCCAATTCTTTTATTATCACATAGAAGGAAATACTTTATTTCTTTAAACTCTATTGCTTGTCTTTCAGATAACCTCAGGAAATGTCAATGAAAAAATAATTTACCTAGGGCCTCAAATCTGACTTCCCATATTTTAATAAATTAGCAATAACTGTTTCATTTTGAGCATTCCCTATGTACATACTATACTCTGAACTTCACACACACTATCTCTTTAGTTTTAATGACCCTATGAAGATGGATCTATTATTGTCCCCATTTTATAGGTGAGGAAATAGGTTCAGAGAGTATAAATAAATTGTCCAAGTCATAACCTGTCCAAGTCTAGCACAGCCTGATCCAAACCCAGAGGGACTCATTCTAAAATGCTGCCCTCAGCCAGGCTCCTGCACACCAAGTGCAGAAGTGACTTTGCAGCCAAGTGCAAAGTCACTTCTGAGAAACCCAGCTTTCATTTGCTGCCTATATCCCTTAAGCTCTTTATCCTTTGTTTTATAAAAGAAAAGGAGGGAGGGGGGATACAGGAGGGAGAGAAATAAAGAGGAAGGAAACAGAGGGGAGAGAGGGGGAAGGTTACTTAATATCTTCCACCCCTTCTGAATAACCCCAGGGATAAAGTGGGACCCATCCGACTTCTAACTAAGCTAGTCAACATTGTTGAATAATAAATGTGTGAAGGCCCAGTTGGGTCTGACTTGATGTGATTTTGCCTTTGTTTTACATTTATCAGGAGAAGTATTCTTGCAGATTAAAGGGCCACTGGAAGATATTTATAAAACCTACTGCTATCACCACGACAAAGCGCACAGTGTACTGGAGTCCTATGAAAAGGAGGAGGAGCTGAAGCAACATTTGAGCCTCTGCATCCAGTCCTTAAAGTAAGGCCTTTCAAAGGATGATTTCTCTGTGTTCACAGTTGCCTGGCAGGGGACATTTTAACTGGATGTAGATGAAAGGTCTCACGTAAATCCTAGGTTTTATGAGCCTGGCGGAAAGCTCTACTTCGAGTTCCCTTTATGAAAAGCTGATGCGCCAGAAACCCTGATTGACTTTTTTTCCCTCCTGCGAGGATAACTAAAAATAACATGGGGAAAATACAGGGCTCTGTAGAAACAGAAAAATGCAATTTCAAAAAGTGAAATGTAGAAGAAAAGTCCCTCCTTAAAGCTGCTGTTGCTTGCCTGCTCCACATAGATCAAGGAAGAGGGGAGACACTGCATGGCCCCGAGAGCCCCGGGGCACAAGGAGTAATGAGTCAGTGTGCTGTCCGCTGTCCGTGACTCTCTGAGTTGCCCCCACCTCCCCCCAGAGGGGAGGGTGGTGAACACGGGCCAGACCCTGCTGGAGTCTGTTTCAGGAATATTAGTCATGCCTTCCTGAATTGTCTGTGGGTGGTGCTACATAATATATACATTTTTTATCTGGAAGAAATCTCTATGCACTATAAAAATCTGGAAAATGTATGAAAACATGAATAAGATAAAAGCCCTTAATATTCCATGTATTAATTTCTCACTAAACCATGTATTAATAACCATAGTTTGCATTTCATTTTGATCTTCTCTATATGCATATATGTGGACATGTGTTTGGGGCGATTCGTTTAAATGGAATTGGTATCTCACTGTATATATCATTTTCTACCACACAAAGCTTAAAGCCAAAATGTTTGCCCTAGTCCACATCTTACCCAGTGGTTCTGTTGTGGTCTTTCATTTCTCAGGATTACCTATTGTCAAATGGTTTTGATTAGGCCAAGAATTAACCAAACAGAGAGAGCTGTGATGTATAAATCAATGCACACCAACCTGTTGGACCCTCTGGTATATCCCCCTGGTATACAGTAGAGTAGAGGCCAATATGGGGGTCCTGATGGAATATAAGAGGCTGGTGGCTGAATCAAAGTGAAGCAGGAGACTAAGTGAGACTACTCCGGAGAAAGTCTTTCCAGGAGAGAACTGGGACTGAAAGTGGGTTTAAACTGGGCCAGAAGAAATGTTAAAAACTAACTTTATTGCCCTCTACTGGTCATTAAGTTATTACACTTCTTTAACCATTTTTCATGCCCATGCTGTGGAAAAATACATAATTTAAGTTTCTAACTCACAAAAATTTATTTAGTGCTTATGCTGTAGCAAGCACCATTCTGGGTGCTGAAAATACAAAAATAAATAAATCTTAGACCTGATCCATAGGAACTCTGGACTCAGAATGAAAGTGAAAAATCCTGTAGTAAGGGAACATCTAACACCTGGATCATCAGTCCAACTCCAGCCCCAGGAATGGCATTCCGCATGGGAAGAGGACATAGTTCAGTACTTGGGCATGTGCCGTTAACAGCTAACAGGAAGTGGAGCTGTCTCTTCAGAGGGGATGAACATTAGTTTATTATTCATTAAAACTTGGCTCCTAAGAGAAAGAAATTGACCCTGCCAACATATTCAAGTAGCGCTCCATATCATAACCTTTAAAAAGCAACTAAAAACAGAGGCAATTTTCAACTTTATGAAGTCCAAATTACTGAAAATTGTTTTCACACCCAATGGTTTATTTGATCTTTTTCTGAAAGCCTCCAGTTATTGCCCTGGTGACATCCCAAATCGTGTGTATTCAGCACCAGTCTGATTTTAGGGAACAATTTCAGGCACTGGAAGTTGCTGTAGTTTAGAAAGCACAAAATCCAAAGGAAGTAACATTGGCAGAATAGTTTTTTAAGGAAAAGAAAATCAGAATAAAATAGTTTAAGTTAGAGTTATTTTCCTAAAAGTTGCCTTTTCATGAACATAAAGTTAAGGATGAATCGTACTGGTCTGCCTGAAAGCTGAGAGCAGTAGAATTATTGACATTACTATACTACTGACCTCAATTGAGCTAAGCTTTAAATTCTCAGAAACAGGTTTTCAAACAGGTTTATAGGTCAGAGAGAGTCTGGAACGCCCAAGGGCTTGGTTTCCCTCACCAAGTCATCAGTCAAAGCTATTACTGTGGCTCTGCCTTTTCCTTGTGGCTAAATAACAGAGCCAGGTGCGCAATTGCCAAGTGCTAGTGAACATTAGGAGGGGCCCCCACTCTCTACCGCGCAGGAGACATTAGAGGAAGTGGGTCTGAAGCAATGTCTGCGAGAGAAATGACTGACTTCATGCTTCTGAAGTTAAAGAGGACTTTAAAGCACCTTTGGTTGCATTTAAACCAAAATTAAGTAAGTTCACTGATGGCTTAATAAGTAAATATTTATTAAGATTGCTAGATAATGTTGAAAACATTTAACAAATATATGTGTGTGTGAGAACTCACAAATATATTTGAGTTCTTGCCTCTTAGGGGCACATCTTCTAATTGGGTAGATAAACTAAACCATCCAGAAAGTTTAATAACACTGCCAGAGTTAATTTAAATAACACACCAGAAGCTATCACGGTAAGGTTATGGACTAATTTCCAAGAAGATGGTAGAGAGATTGTTTGGTTCTATAATAGACCTAAACTCATAACCTTTGACTACTCTTTGAAGCCCAGTATCTGTCAAGAGAGAAAATAACATTTGTAACCAGAAAATGATTTTGAATCCCTTTAAAACGTTAGGGCAGTGTTTCTAGGTGTGTGCGTGTTCCCCTGCATCAAATCAACCAGAGATGCATATTAAAAGTGCAGATTCGTAAACTCTGCTCCAGACAAGAAAAAAAAAAGTATGGCTGAGGGTTCAATTCAGGAATTGGCACATGAAAAAGCACCCTCAGGTGACTGTGGGTACACACTCAAAAACTACTTTAAGAGAATTGTCTACAGTTCTCTCTCACTGTTTTCCCTGAAGTGCATGGGTCCCCCGCCCCATGGCTATAGATACAATCTATGCAGTAGTTTCAGGGCATGGAGGCCTTAAAAATGAAAAGATTAAAACTATATAGAAGCACAGTACTGCATCTGCCTCTGTGGCGTACAAATTGGAAATCTGCAAGTTTTTACTTATTCAACAAGGGGTGTTTACACGTTGCACCAGTGACCCCTACGATTACAGGAAATACTGTATTAATGCAGTCTCTAAATTTATGGAATTTATTTGCTAAAGATCAGCCTCTTTGGGGTTATTTAAGGTTTCTCATCTGTATGAGAAAAGTGAAAAATAGAATAGCTATCAATGCCAGTGCAGCTATAATTAGAATGGCCTGTCTGCTGCCTCCTTTTTCTGTTTTTTTTTTCTAGTTATAAATACTGCCAAATCCCTTCTGCTTTTCAGAGGCCCTAGAGATCTGTTTATTTTTGTAATAGAAAAAGAATGAAGGGACTTTTCCAAATTTTGTTGTAGCTGGAAGACACATTTCTAGCTTCATGTCTAGTTATAAATTTATCTACATTTTTCTTCCCAACTAAGCCCATCATCCATAGAAGGAAAACTCCTGACTTACAGTCATCTGGGCACTTTGGCTGCTCATATTTCTGCCAAGGCTTCTCCATTCATGGAGGAAGCTAAAAGTTCACCCAACACAAACTCTCAAAGAATAGATTTCAATTTGTTTACCACATTTTGTACTTCTTAATATTATTGTAATTGACTGCCCCACATAAAAAAAAAATCACTTCTGGAAATTCTTTCAGTTCTTTGTTATGTGGCATCATGTTTGAACGAACACTGTAATCCTTAAAGAATAGCCACATAAAAACTTTTTTAAAATTGTTAGTCATATTATAATGAGCCCACAAATATAGGAGATGTAGCTGCAGACATATTGAGTTAGTTTATCCCATGACAGGGTAAATGAACACAATTTAACTTCCTCCTGAATTGTCCTTGGTTGAGGGTAACTTCTGGAAAGCTTTTATCCTAAAAGAGAGATTTAAAAAAATAATAATACGCAAATAAAGAAGAGCTGCTATAACACACTGCCGCTATTTCACCATGCCAACAGGGAAAACTTGTTGCAGATCTCTCAGGTCCCTTTTGAAAATGTTATACTTATATTAAACACAGCCTTTAACTTCTATTATAATATTTAGGTTTTATTTTATTTGAAATAAATGAAATAGAAGGAAAAAATGTCCGTGGCTTTTCTAGGAGTAAAAAGAACAATCTCTTCTTTTAACTCAAAGTATGTGTTTTGGTTCTGAAATGATCACATTGTTCATTTGTTTGTTTCCATAGAAAATTGCATTTTTATTTTTAGTCAACTTCTCCCCCAAATTTTCTGATGTATGATCCACCGCGCATACTGGAAACATAAAATTCCTCATTAGAAGGGAATAGAAATTGGGGAAAGAATGTGAACCTAAAGGAGATGAATGGAAGGAAATATTGGGCAAGGGGGTAACGGTGGTGCAATTTCTTTCACTGAAGTAAGAGTTATTTTAGGTTAATTAAAATTCAGCATAGAAATTTATCACTGAATTTTTTACAATCATTGAATATGAAAATACCATCTATTGTGGAATATGGTTAATTTCTTTCTATATTGAAACATTTACTGCATTCCAAAGACTGGAAACTGGAGATGAAGGTGCTCACTTACTGACTCCAGTTATTACTTTACTTCTCTATAACCGCATGAGACTTTTAGAGAAAAACTCCATTACCCTTATCCCTGAAATTCAACTTGAATGAGTCATACTTTTTTATTGTTAATTAATTAATTTGACAAGTATGTTTTAGGCTCCTGCCATGTGTCAGTCACTTTTCCAGATACTGGGGCTACAGCAGAGAACAAAGTAGACATAAATCCATGCCCTTATGGGGATCGGGGAGTGAGGAAACAGACAATAGACTGAAGAAGTCTAGAGCATATTAAAAAGTGACAAAGCATCATGAAGAGAAATAAAGCAGGGAGTGAGGATAAAGAGTACAGTGGGAAGCAGGGTACAATTTTTTTAAAGGTTGGTTAGGGAAGGCTTCGCAGGGAAGGGACATTTGAGCAAAGGACAAAAGGAGATAAAGAGTGAGCTTTATCTGGAGGAAGAGCAATCAGGTGGGGCTGCGTGTGCCAAGACCTCCAAGCAGGAGCCTGTCTGGGGGCTGTGCAGAGAGCCAGGAGGCCTGTGTGGTGCCACAGACGGGAGAGAAGGGCATGCACAGGACAGGGGGTAGAGAGGAGCTGAAAGGAGAGGTGGAGCACACTGCCTTGGAAGGATTTCAGATTTACTTGAGCAAAGGAAAGGCACAAAAGCCGGCAACACCTTGTGAAAGTTCCTGTGGAATTCTCTCATTGTTTATAATCTGTATCACACTATATACAAAAATAGTACAGAGCATAGTTCTTTTCTGCAAGTCAGTCATACTTTTCTTTGTAGTCTTGTCATCCCAGTTTCTCCTACTATTATGTTCAATAGAATATTTTTAGAAATATATACAAAAGTTGACCTTTAAATCCTTTTTCAACTTATGGAAATTTACTAACTATAATCTGAGTCAACAGTTTTTAATCTTATAATTTATGGTATAAAACAAAACTGGTGAATATATACTAAGATAAAATTTTAAGGATATGATTATAAAGTAATGAGACCAATTCTATAAAATATTCATGAAAATGATTTATAACTATTTTAATGCAGTAACATTTAAAAATTTGTATAATGCTTGCATATTACCTCAAATATGTGGATTTACATGAATTTACTTTCCCCCCCTCTCTTACAGGAAAATATACATTCAAGAGTAAGTACTTTTATTTTAATAATAAAAATCAAATGTAAAAATCATGAAGAAGAGCTGTTTAATATTTCTGTACAAATTAGAATTTTTGGTTTTTACAATTATGTTATTGCTTTAATACATAAATCAAGATTTTGAAGGCATTGCAATAGACATTATTGATGCACTTATTTCCAATTTGTCTGAGATAATCATATATATTAAATTCTTATTACATGTACTTTACTAAACTTTTAGAAGAATCCTGGAATATAATTTACTTAAATCACATGTTTGCTGGTGCCAAGAACTCTCAGGAACTTCTCATCACACATACATTTAAGAATCTTTATGTGTCCAAAACAGTTTCCTAAGAACATTAGTCTTAAAAAAATCTCATATTAATACCATAATGTTTTTTGAAGGTGCCGTATATGAATGCACAAAAGAAAAGACTCCTTATGCATCATAGTAAAATACTGTTTCTTCTCATTTGGACTTCTGTGTGATTTACAAAGAAAAAAATCACATCACATATATAACATGAAAATGAAATAGTAAGATGAAAGAGTCAGTCACTAAGACTATATTAATTATCTTATAAAAACACACACATACACACACTTTGGAAGATACCCATTTTTATGTAAGAAAAGAATGCTTAGTCTGACTGATACTGAATGGATGATATTGAGGTACACACAAACTCAAATTTATAGGGCTTGAAAAAGCATGTGCCTGGTTTATCATGGTCAGCAACTACCTAAGTCTTGAGCTCCCAGTCTGTGTGTGTGTTTGCTTGTGTGTGTGTGTGTGCCCCACTCTGGAAACTTTATATCAAGGAATACAAAATTTACAAATTAAAAATTACATTAATTTAACCTGTAAGTACCTGTCATGCATGCTTTGGTGCAGAACAACCGTGAGGAAAGACCGAACTCCAGAAGTGGAGTGGAAGAGTCAGGCATCATCCAGGACACCTGTGGTCTGAGCCAGGATGAGAAGTTAGTTTTGATGTACCAAACAAGCACCCAGTTCTCTCACTTTACAAGTCTTTTCAGTCAAAAGGACAAAAATCCTACAGTATAAACAGACATGTGTAGGTTTGATCTATGAGTTCCCAGATTAGGGATCACCTGAATTTGAAGATGTATGAAATAGAATAGGGCCTTCTGGGGCTTCCACACACCAAGGCCTGCAGGTCTTATCTTCACTGGTAGTTGATAAGGATGGGTGGGGGTAGGGACTGCCATCTCATTGTAAAAGCCTGTGTCCCTGGCATCATTGTGCCTAGGACTGGAGAGTGGCATAGCTGGATGACTAAAGAGGAACTTCATATACTACAAATTCTGCTTAGGTTCCTTTTCCTAAAACTTAGGTCTTTATGAGAGAGAGGCAGGGGGTAGAGAGAGAGGGAAAAGGGAGATATTCAGAGGAGGATAGAGAGAAAATTCTTTCTCTGTCATACAGTTCACATGCACATGCTGCTCCATACAAAATACCTACAACAAACAGTACATTTTATTGAAATACTTGCTTGAAAAAATTGCACTAGTTTTTCTGCAGTAGTCCTGCGGTGTGGGAGTTAGCAAGCTGTGTATGTCATCTCTAGCCTATTCTGTACATCGAGGACTGAAAAAGAGGAAGAGTATTCACAGCGTGAGGCTGGATGAACATCAAAGCCCAGTCCGCCAGGAGCTATCTTCCTTCCTGTTTCCCTCACTGGGGTCATGAGGCACACAGGCTGCAGCGTGAAAGGGTAAAAGGCAGTGTCAAGTGCCGTGTAATTGTTCGGATCCTTAGCCACTAAGGCCTGGTTGCAGCCAACGGTGCATTTAGGAGGGGGTTTTAATGGTTTAGAAACAATGCCTTCCGTATGAAAACTGAAAGTTTTCTCTTTTTTAATCTTTTAAGTACATTTTTAAATATAGAGGAAAAAAGATATTTATAACTTCTAAAATGATTACTTTGAATTATAATCTTATGCAAACCTCAAAGACAATATTAGTGACAAGAATCACAGAATCTCCCACAAAAAGTCGCTGCCCCCCAACAATCATCTGATACAATCCCATAGTCTAAAGCAACAAAAACATGCCTATTCTAAATTTAACTATCTCTAGAAATGCAGTGTTGGGTTTTTATGCTTTTTAAACTTTACTGTATGTATTCTCTGTCTGACCAGCTATTGTAACTTTGGATCTCTGGATTTCTATTTATTGCAAAATATTTGTAAGTTATTTCCTCTCTCTCTCTTTTGAGATTTATATTTTTAAAATTATTGAAGAAACAGTGCAATACATAGAAAATTAAAATGAGGACAATAAAGACAATGAGTACTGACATTCTAGAGTTAACTACTGTAACATTGTTACAGTGTGAAGTTTCTGACTTTACTGTGATTTTTTTCTCTACATATACATGTTAACTAAAATAGGACTACTATATATGTATTCTTTTTCTTTCTTTTTGTTCTTCTTTTATATGTCCTTCTTCTACATCAGCATGCCACCTCATTCACCAGTGCATCCCAGACATCTTTCTGTATAGGAAACACACATCCCTGTTGTTCTATGGCTGCATAATGTTCTATCTGATGCACACCCCACCATCACATAGGTTACCAAACCCTTGTAGATACCTGAATTGTGTCTTTCTGTCTTGTAGAGGTTGATGCTGTGTGTTCATTCTTATACATGATCTCTGTATAATAATTTGATTATTTTCTTAGGATGAATTTCTAAAAGTGGGATTACTAGACCAAAGGGCATCTCATACTTATTACCAGAAAATTTCAGAAAAGTTGAACTAATTTAAATTCTTACTATCCATATATGAGTGGCCTCTTTATCTGCTACTTGCCAACAGTAGACACAATTAATATTTGCATCTTTGCAACACATGGCACTGTTGTAGGCTAAAGTAGTAATATATTGTTTGAATTTTAAAGAATAATGATCTTGAGCATTTTTCATGTGTGCTTAAGTGTTCGCATTTCACTTCTAATGAATTATTTTTTATTGATCACTTTTATTGATGTTCATCTTTTTCTAATAGATCAATAATGCCTCTTGAATTAGCAAGTGTATTAAGCCTGTTCTGTTTTATGTGCAATAAATACTTTTTTAGCTCATTATTTGACTTTTAACATAGTTTATGGCTTATTCTGTTTTTATTTTTATCAGTACAGTTTTATAGAGTAAATTTTAAAATAGATTTATCATGTTTTCTACTGTGGCTTTTGAATTTTTTTTCTCAGAAACTCCAAGATTGTTTTTAAAATAATCCTATGATTTCTTCAAGTTCTTGTATATTTATTTTTAATATTTAAATCTTTGGTCTATCTAAAAATTACTTTGGTCCAAAGAATTTATTTGTATTGTTTTTCCTGTATGGCACACTAATTATTAAAATACTCGATTTTGAATAGTTAATTTTTTCCACTGACTAGAAATGTCATATTTACCATACACTTATTTTCCATACATACCTATATATATTTCTTGATTTTCCATTTTCTGTTCATCATTTGTTCACATATATGCCCATATTGTACTGTTTTTGTTTTTGCAGCTTTACATTTTAATATTAGGTCTAACTAATCTCAGTTTAGTACTCTTCTCAGAATTTCTTGGATATTCTTGCACATTTCCTTCTTTAAAAAGTTTCTCTTTTGTTAAGATTATACATACCAAAGTTTTAAAAGCCCAACTGTTCTGCAGGATTTAAGAAAAATAGTAATGCTCTTCTCTGCTATCTGCCTCTAAATGTCCCTCATGAGAACACAAGCACTTTCGTTTTCATGTCTTTTACTTGACTATTTTGGAATTTATCTTCCTGACTCTAAAAATGTGTTTAATTTTACCTTTTCAGGTATTTTGTGGTGACTCCTCCATGAAGAAGACAATAATTTATCTCTTTTTCCTACCCCATCTTCACTGCCCCCACACACATACTTGCACATTCTTCCTAGCTCTCTATTCTCCTCATGTTACACTATAATTTGGATTAGAACAATAATCAGTGTCTGAATTATTATGTCTGTGTATTCCGAGTAAATTTCTTTTTAGACCTAAATATTAGAATAAAGGATTGCTTGTTTTTCTGGAAGCTATTATCTTTTTTTTTTTTTCATTTTCTTTGTGTTAATCATTAAGGTCAAACTCACAGCCAATCATATTTCAAGACAGCCAGATGCACTACATATACTATAAATTTCATCTCCCTAAAAAAGTTTCTCCCAGCCCTGGCTGGTGTGGCTCAGTGGATTGACTGCGGGCCTTCGAACCAAAGGGTCTCCAGTTTGATTCCTAGTCAGGGCACATCCTGGGTTGCAGGCCAGGTTCCCCAGTGCGGGGCACGTGAGAGGCAACCACACATTGATGTTTCTCTCCCTCTATTTTTCCCTCCCTTCCCCTCTGTCTAAATGAACAAATAAATAAAATCTTTTAAAAAGTTTCTCCCAGAGCCTTCCAACCTGTTGAGTTTGGACTGGAGACACTGGAGACAACTGTCCTTCAGGAACCCCCTCCCATCATTGTGGAGATTCTCTGCCCATTTCCTGTTTTTGGTGACTGTGTCCTTCAGTAGTTCCTTCTATTCATCAAAGAATGCATGGGAAGTAAAATTTTAAGAACTTTTACAATCAAAATGCCTTTATTTTACCCTCACACTTAATTTCGAGTTTGAATTCTGAACTATTGAATTCTAAATTGAAAATCATTCATCTTCAGATTTTGATGGTGATTTGTCATTGTTTTCTAGTTTTCAGTGTTGCTATAAAAAATCTGAAGCTTTTTCCAATACCTAATCATTTGGTTGTACCTGTTTGTTTATACGTTTCTCCGGAGGATTGTGGGATCTTCTCTTTGTCCCCTGAAGTCTCAATTGTCTTGAATTCCAAGATGTAATTCCATTTCATCCATTGCTGTGGATACTTAGTGAGTTCTTCCATCCTGCTAACTGGGGTCCTTTTCTCCAGTTACTTTACGGATGATCTCCTCCCCACCTGCTCTCTGTTGTTTCTTTTTGGGACTCTGTTTACTTCAGTGTTGGCCTTCTCAGAACAGTCCTCTAATTTTCTGTATTTTTATTTTCAATCCCTATGTATTTTTGCTCTTTTCTCTAGAAAGTTCCTGAACATTTTCCCTGAATATTTTCTCCAACACTTGTGAGTTTTTATTTCTGCTATCATCCTTTAATTTCCAAAAGGGTCTTTCTTAGTCTCCCAGATGATGCCTTTTATTTGTACAGTACCGTAAGAATTAGGTTGTTTATTAAACAGGTTTTCAACTGGTCCCTTCTTATTGTAATCCCCATCTTCCTCCCTCTCCACTATCACGGACTCTTGGTTGTGGACTTTTAATGAAGTTTTGGAAGGATTATTAAATTATTTCCTCTCCATATTATTGATTCTCTCTGGTTTACTACATCAATTATTCATTCATCTCCTTTACATCTTCTAAAGTTTATTGATAGTTCTGTATTTATTTTCAAAACTACTTTTAATTTATGGCAATAGTTATTTGATCATTATCTGTAGCAACACACAGTTTTAAAGGGGGATTACATTGAAAAATCAATGTTGTACAGTTGGTTTGTGGCTACTGTAAATTAAATTATTAAATTTAGAATACTTATGGTCATAAAATAGAGGAAATTCAAAGTAACATGATCAATAATCCATGATTATTTTTTCTTTCCCTCATTTTCTACCTCTAATTAAGAAATATAGATGTGCCTCAGTGTTGAATATCTGATTTCATGTGCTTTCCACATCGTTTTTACACTGCTTAAATATCATTTTTATTTTCATTGTGAAACTGTTTTCTTGTATTTGATGTGAAGTCTCTTTATAGCCAAACTGCATGCTGCTAAAACAAAGCCAGCTGTGTTTACTTGACTTTGTAAAGTCCCAATAATGATTCGTAATGAGATTAGTTCAGCTACTTATGGTACTAAATACTTGCCAAAGTATTTACAATAGGACAATGATGATGAAACAGAATTACAAATTAATAACCACCTTAGTTTTCGGTCCCATATGTATAGGGAATCATTATACATTTGGTTACTTTCTGGGGGGAGGCATGTGGTGATCGGCTTGCTTGGCTGAGCTGGGTTGTATCACCCATAGGACACATCTGCCTCAAAGCTATTGGAACTGAATTCTGTTAGGAGATTAGATGGGTGAGATTTGGCACTGGATGCCTGGGGTGTCATTGTACCACATCCTCTATTTTTCTGCATATTGCTTGTCTGTATGATGCAGGCATCGGCACATCACTCATCATTTGGGCAACTGTCCAAAGTGCATGTCTGAAGACAACGGTGTCTGGGAGATTTCTTCCTATTGAGAGAACCTTTTTAATATTTGCATTTGAGATACTTTTAAAACAAACAGTAATCATTTATCATAGTTATTATTGTCATTTGAAACATAACACGGAGAAAAGAGAACTTTGACGCCACCTAAAGGGCCTAGTATGGTTTTTGACAGATCTTAATAAGGAAGAAAGGAGGGCAGCTCAAAGATCAAGGATATTATTTAATATATTTAGGGATTTTCTTTAAATAAAATACACACACACACACACACACACACACACACACAAAACAATGGGCCACACTGGAAAACTATCATATTAAAATTTAGTTTTATTTGATTGAATCATTTGATTTACTTGTTATTTTCTCAGTATTCATAATATTTACAGTTTTTCTATCTGCTTCATCCAGTCCTCTTGGAAACCAATAACATCTCTCTCTGCCTCTCTCCCTGATTCCTTCTTCGCCCCCCTGTGTCCCACCTCCCTTTCCCCTTCCTTAGTAGATTTGGTGCAAATAGGTAGAAAGTACAAGATACATCATATAAAACAACACTTTATACCCTTGAAAACCTTTTTTATTTTGTTTTTTTCTTTTAAAAATGCTACATTTTGGTCTTATTCAGTTTTTATTTCTATTATGGTGTCAGCATTTGCTGAGCACCTGAACAAAATTCCTCAGTTATTGAGACCATCGGAAATGGGGGGGTTGGGGTAGATAAGTTCAGTGTAAAATAAAAACACATTATATATCTGAGAAACCTATCACTTCAGTCTACAAGTATTCATTGAGAGAATACTAGATGTCATGCTGGAGAAATAGTGGTGACAGAGAAACTGAGCACAAACTGGTAAACAGAGAAGACGAGTTCAGATAGTGGTATGTGCTGTAGTGAAAATAAAACAGGAAGATGTGACAGAGAATGGCTCGTGTGTGTGTGTTGTGCCCGTACGCTCGTATGCACGGGGACGTTTCTTAGTTTCTCATTTTTTAAATGAAGAATTCAATTCGATGGTCTCTGAGTTGCCTTCAGATCTTATCTATTGAGGCAGCTTTTCTAATTTTGTTCAGTTTTTTTTAGATTCATTTCATTTTTCCAATTATGTGGTCTGTTGTCTATTCATGTGAGTACTTAAGAATAATAATTGAAGAATGAAAAATCCTTCTGTTGGGGCACGAAAAGTTCCTGTATTCTCTAGCTACTAAATAAAAACCTAAAGGAAAACAAATAAATATGTCTGTCTATCTGCCAGAAGGAACTCAAAGTATGATTTGCATCCATGTTTCATTTGCAATGTCTCTTCACTTGTCTCTTTGCATAAAGAGACTTTTAGAAACTACTGCATTCTGGCTGAAAAATGAGTGACAGTGGCTTGGACAATGACATGACCGAGCTTGAAGTTCACCTTTGTGGGGCTCTTTAAAGATTTGCTAGCTAAAAACAATTCCACACAAAAAGTCACAGAAAGCCATCACATGATACCAATAATTAGGGATAGTAATGGTATTTAGAGAACAATTGCATTTATTATAATTCTCTTTTGGGACTGATAGAACCTCTGAAACAATATAAATGCTACTTCTCAATTTGGTGGAAGAGAGAAGACAATGCTCTCTTTTGACTATACTTGGCAAGTCATTTGTTTAAATTTTTGAATAACGAGTTTCCTTTCCTCACTAATGATCACAAAAACACAATCAGTAAAAAGCATTTTTCTTGGTTGTCATTGGAAAATGCATTCTGAAATTGTTTGTTTCCCACTATTATTATAAAGCCTGTTATTTAAAAAAAAAAAAACAAATCTTTACATGGAACATGGATGGAAATCATGCTTTGAGTCCTCTTTGTGGACAGATACACTCACTTGTTTTTTGTAGGTTTTCTTTAGTAGTAGGATTTTTCAGCCTTGTTTCTTTGTTAATCACAGCTCTTGCTTTCATTTAGAAATTGTACATAGCCAAATGGATGGGGTGAGGAAGAGAAAGGTTCAGGAGTAATAAAAAAAATCACAGAACTTGAAAGGAGATACTGAGACAAATGTCTGTGGAACTGACAGTGTTTCTCTCCATTGCAGAGGCAAACCAAACTTGACCAACATGGGCTCCTTGATGATCAAACCCATCCAGCGTGTGACGAAATACCCCCTGCTACTGTGCGAACTTCGTAACTCCACCCCGCCCTCCCATCCGGACTTCAGAGCACTGGAGGATGCCTTCGCTGCAGTCAAAGACATTAACGTAAACATCAATGAACTTAAACGGCGGAAAGATTTAGGTAAGAAGAGATGTAATGAACTGGGTGGGTACTCTCCACAACTGGCCTGTTCTCTTTCTGTTTCTGAGACTCGGAATGTCTGAGCAGTTGGAGCAGTTGGAGCGATCACGATCATTTGATATCTCGAGTTAGAAGCTGGGGAAGAGAGTGTGGCTTTGCCTTGCCCGCTGGGTTCAGAAGATCATGAGGCACAAAAAAATGACCATTAAAAAAAATCAAACAGGTCTATACTCACCCCTGTGACCACTGCACGCCTGAGCACATACCGCGGGCTGAAGATACCCACAGCACACAGTCCTCGGTCCCTGGCACTGCGTGTGGTGAGGAGGACACACGGCAAGACCTGATAGCTGGAGCAGTGGGAAGCGAGAGCCAAAAAGTGGTGGGGAAAGGCACAGACCCAGGTGAGGGGCCCAAGCTAACACCTCAGCCCGCCTGGTTCTGGCACACAAAGAATGGCGATTTGGGGGCAGTAATTGTTCCATTGAAGGGAGCAAGTATATATTTTTTTTCTCAAATCAACAAATTATTGTTAACTCTTTGTTAGCTAAGATGTAAAATTGGTGTTTGAAGTAGAATGTAGATTTCAAAACCAAAGGCACAGTTACACGGTTCCCGTCATCAGGATGAACTGTGCCTTGGCAGAGATGGTGGGTCTGCCCTCGGGGGCAATATTCCCTTAATTTTTAATTAGTTGTGCACTTCTAACATGAACTCTCAACTCAACACTAAAGCAATGGCAGAGCTTTGGAACTGACTGCTCCAACCACCTCATTTATGTTTATTATTTTTATTTTCTATTTTTTTAATTCAAAAATTGTATTTATATTAATAACTTCAAATTATAAAGAAGGGTATAAGGTAAAAAGTGAAAGCAGTGGAGGAAAAGGTACCATAAACAAAATGCAAAGACAGCCCATAGACACATTATTGATTACTGTCTATTGATGTTAAATCAATAGTAAAAACACTTTAATACAACAAGTTAATAGTAGAAATAAGCAGCTTACAGTAAGACCAATAAGGTTTTCTTTATTGAGTTTATTGGGGTGACATTCATTAACAAAACCATGCAGGTTTCAAATCAAGAAAACACCATCTGCACACAGCATCATGTACCCTTCACCCAAAATAAAGTCTCTTTCCTTCCCTTTCCATCCCCCTTTGCCATCTTCCACTCCCCCCAACCCCCTTTCCCTCTGGCCATCACTACACCGTTGTCTGTCTCTATGTGTGATTATATAGATTATATATACATTTATATTCTTTTGCTTAATCCCTTCACCTTTTTTTCACCCAGCTATCCAACCCCTCTCCCTTCTGACAACTGTCAGTCTGTTCTATGTATCTATGTTTCTGTTTCTACTTTGTTAAATTATTTTGTTCTTTAGATTCCATGTACAGGTGAGGTCATATGGTATTTGTCTTTCTCTGACTGGCTTATTTCACTTAGCATAATATTCTCCAGAAGACCAATAAGTTTTTAAATGCTAAGCTTCACTAATAATCAGGGAAATATAAATTAAAATCACAATGACATATTATTCCCAGCCTATCAGATTGGCAAAAAGATTTTTAACAGATAATGTTAGTGCTGAGTTTCAATCTCTCAGTGAGAATGCAAATCGGAATCACCAGTTTAAAGAACAATTTGACAATATGTAGTGAACATGCATGTGTTGTATGTGTGTCATTGTATGTATGTACATATGTCATTGTAGTGAACACACAACAAAGACTGGGAAAATCAATCTCTAGATATTTGAGAAACGTTTGCCTATATGCTCATAGAAAGGTGTATTGGTAACTAGCATTGTTTATAATAGCAAGAGAAAGAAAGGAAGAAAAGAAAATGGCTTACGTATTTATTCAGATAATGAATAAACTGTATTTTATACACCGTGATACCTTGAGAACATAAAATTACAAACATTAATTAAAGTATATGTATCAATTGGATAAATCAAAAAATGCTGAGTTGTTTAAGAGTAAAGTATCAAGTGACTTAAGAAATATATAAGTTGGTACCATTTTTATAAAGATTTACATCATTCAAAAATAATACTATGTATTGTACAACTGCATATATATACAACAAAGGCATAAAAGTAAATGCAAAGACAGCAAGCCCATTATTTAGGATCACAATTCCCCGTAGAGATTGAAGATAGAGTTCAGAGAAGCTTCACCTGTTTTAACTTTTTAAATTAAAAAAAAATTGGAAAAAAGGCAAAATTAGGATTTGACAAAGCTAGGAGATAGATAATAGCTGTTATATTATTCTTTTTACTTTTGTGTTTGCTTAAAATATTTCAGTTTTAAAGAGAAAAACTTCTCCCATGATTTTAGTTTGCACAAGTGAGATTTTATCTAGTGTTCTCAGACTTTCTCTTTTTTTCTCTTCTCTCTCACTCTTCTTTCATTCCTTCCTGCAACATGGATGATGTACTATAGTTTGCTGGGGTTTTAATAACAAACAATCATATATCATGAACATTTTTTCAGTTAATATGGCCTTCTTTTTAATGGTTCCATAGTATTTCATTTATGAGTAAGTCATAATTTAGTAGACTATTCTTCTAGGGTAAATGTTTAGATTGTTTCCAATATTTTGCTGTTAGGAAAAAAAAGTGCTGTAGCAAACCAAACTTTGTAAGCTTATGGAATGCAGATTACCGTGCATGCACACCCTGGTCCTAGACTACAAATATTTTATTTTTTTTAAGATTCTGCCAAATTGTTCTGTATAAAAACTGTGTTAGTTTAATCCTCATCGACAGTATATAAGATTGCTTATCTCTCCAGACCCTTACAAAAAAAAGTTAGGAATATTTAACACTTGAACAATATGAGAAGTAAAAATTATTTTTAAGTTAAAAAAGTAAAGCTCAGAGGGTGACTCAGTTTACCCCAACTCTCCTTGCTAATGGGAAGCCACTCTAGGATTGGCAGTCTCCTTAGGCTGGATGTCCTTTCATGAGTTAGGTCCCAATGCTTCATTCTAGAGACTGCAGATGGCAAATATCCAAGAAGAGAGGAAGAGGTTTTATTTAGTATCTGGGATTTCTTTATCATGGGAGATAAGTGAACCTTGGGCTTTGAGGAGCTCACAGCCTTGGACAGCAGAGTGTCTGAAGGAGGCTGGGGTGGGTGGCTGGAGTCAGGACTGGGCAGTGGGGCTGGAGCATGTTGCATTTGCTGCAGAGAGCCAAAATCATGCGCATTTTACATTAAATGTAAATGCTAATCCTGTATACTTTGGATGAAGCACACTTTCTATGCTGCACATGTCCAGATATATCATTGCATTCTTTTGTTTCAGTTCTAAAATACAAGAAGAATGATGAGGATGAAACGTTTAAAGATAAATTGTCTAAGCTAAATATTCATTCAATTAGCAAGAAATCAAAGAGAATGACAAATTATCTAAAGATTCTGACCAGAGGAGAATCACAGGTAATTTTCTTTTGGGCCACATAAATTTTCCCGGGGAACATGAACACCGATATTTTGTTAGGTTTTGTCTTGCCATTACACAGCTGTTTCTAGAACACTGAGAATCAAGGTAATTGCCCAATGCTCTTATGCTGTTTCTCTCTCTCCCCGCACTTTTGAAGAAAATAAAGTGAGATGGGTTTGACACTATCTCAGCTGTTGTACTTCAGGCAAAGAGAGAGATGGACATAGGAAGGGACTCAAGAAAGGATGTCCCCGGAATCCTGACACTCACTGCCGACCCGCACACAATCTCACCCAGAGCAATGCCCTCCTTTCATCCCTGTTTTACTTCTGCTTTTTCTTTGTTTTCATTTTCAACAGCTGTATTGAGTTTTAATTAACATACTGTAAAACACACCCTTATAAGAACAATTCAATGGTTTTTAGTAAATGTGTAGAGTTTTAAAAAATGTATTGTTATTCTGTACAGTTGTCCCGATTTTCCCCCTTTGCCCTCCTGCACCCCACCTAACGCCCCACTCCCACAGTCAGTCCCCACCCTGTTGTCCATGTCCATGGGTCATTCATAGATGTTCTTCGATTAGTCCCTTCCCCTTCTTTCCACCGTTATTCCCCTCTCCCCTCCCCTCTGATCACTATCAATTTGTTCTTTATTTCCATGTGTCTGGTTCTATTTTGCTTGTTAATTTATTTTATTCATTACATTCCTCTTATAAGTGAGATCATATGGTATTTGTCCCTCACCACCTGGCTTATCTCACTTAGCATAATGCTCTCCAGTTCCATCTATGCTATTGCAAAAAGTAAAAATTCCGTCCTCTTTTTGCTACATAGTATTCCATTGTGTAAATGTACCACAGTTTTTTGATCCATTCATCTACCAGTGGGCAGTTAGGCTGTTTCCAGCATTTGCCTATTGTAAATAGCACTGCTATGAACGTAGGGGTGCATAAGTTCTTTTGAATTGGTGTTTTGGGGTTCTTAGGGTATGATCCCAGCAGTGGAATCACTGGGTCAAAAGGCAGTTCCACTTTTAGTTTTTTGAGGAAGTTCCATGCTGTCTTCCACAGTGGCTGCACCAGTCTGCATTCCCACCAACAGTGCACTAGGGTTCTTTTTCTTTCCACATCCTCACCAGGGCTTGTTGTTTGTTGATTTGTTTATGATGGCCATTCTAACAAATGTATGGTGCTATCTCATTGTGGCTTTAATTTGCATCTCTCTGATGGCTAGTGATGCTGAGCATCTTTTCATGTGTCCATGGGACATCTGTATGTCCTCCTTGGAGAAGTGTTTATTCTAGTCCTTTCCCTATTTTTTAATTGGATTATTTGTCTTCCTGGTGTTGAGTCAGATGAGTTCTTCATATATTTTGGAAATCAACCCCTTTTCCAATGTGTCATTGGCAAACATCAGATTGAATAAATTTTTCACCTTTTATTCCTGCTTTGGAAAAATCTCCCTTTCCTTTAAGTTTCCCTTAATGTTCATCTTATCTTTCTTTCACCTGCAGTAAAAAGTGTTTAGGTGAACACATTATTGTGATTTTTTCCTACCCCTTCTCCACTACATCTACCCCTTCCCACCCCCAGATATACATTATATTACTGGGCAATTATTTTGCATAAGATGTTTATCCTAACTTGAACCACATTCACCCCAACTCCTAATATATAACAGGTGGGTTAGCAAAGGCTCTCAAACTTTAATGTGCATAATAATTAGCTGAGGAGCATGCTAGAAGATTCAGGGGCTCCATCTGGTTCAAGGGTAGAATCTAGAAGTCTGTATTTTTATGAAGACACCAAAGATTTTGAAGCTAAATAACCCTGAAGTGTGCGACCAGTTGGACATACTTTAAGAATCACAAGGTAGGAAATTCCTGGCCTGGTGGTAATACAGTGGGCTTCTAACGAAATGTGGTCAAGAAGGTTCTTTAGATCCTATATACTATATTTTACCATGTATAATGCACACACATGGTTAATGCACATTATGTGTGGGATTATTATGCCAATTATTACACCAATGGTATGTGATCATTACATTGTGTATAATGCACATCCTTATTTTTCCCTCAAAAATTTGGGCAAAAAAGTACATGGCAGAATACAGTGGTACTTATTTCATCCTTTATTATGTTAACTTCTCCAATGGAGGTTCTTAATCTGAACTAGAGGCAACATCTGCCTCACTCTGTGCTGCTCTGTTCTCCTTTCTGCTTTTCCCATTGTCTTTGCAGCTCTCTGGCCACTGAGCTCGAAGTGGTCTCTTCCTCCTCTAGGTGCCTAACGAACTTCCTGAGTGTATCCCAGCTGTGGCACTTTAATATTTGCCACTATTTCCAGGAAGATATTAAGAACAAAATCTTGGAAATTGTCCAGATCTGGGTTTGAATCTCACCTCAGTCACTTAATATTTGTCTTTGGGGACATGAATTAAATTCAGTATAATCTTCAGTAAACTGGGGAACTATACCAGGACCTACACATGGCGTGGTTGTGAGGATTAAATGCAGTGATACATATAAAGAATGTACCCAACACAGGTGGGTAAGCACTCAAAATATATACTAGTATCATCATCTTCATCATTGTCATCATTGTTGTCATTGTCACTGCTATTATTTTATATCATTGCCTTGTATTATTATTTACCTTTTAATGTGCAGACTCCTTACCTCTCACGTGGATATAAACTCCTTTATGCATGGTGTATGAATCAGATCTTTTACTTTTTGTGTTTTATTATTGTTTTTTTGACATCTTTAAAAGGCCTGCTGACTAAGGAGACAGCTCAGCCCATGACTAGCCTGTTCTTAGAGATGGCCACGGGCTCAGCTGGGATCACTTCTTTCATGTGCAAACCAGCTGATCCAGAATCTAGAGTTCCAACCACCTCCTCACAGAATCCACACACCAGTGTTCCTCTGCCCTAAAGGCCAGGGTCAGCTAACAAGCACTCAGAGACCACCGGCTGTCCCCAAACCCAGAATTATTCAGACTGGTTAGCCCTGAACTGCTCACCCTGCCCCAATAAAGACTCTGGCTTTGACTTTGTCCTTGCTCCGTCTTGACACTTGACCAAGACCTAGTGGCCCCTCTGGGGCCCTGCACAACACGTGGTGATGCCCCTGTCTAGGAGTCATGAGTGTAACACACTTTGTCTGAGCCTTGTTGCTGTTTTCTCTCTGGCCACAGTGACTTTCCCACACCATATCCACATGGGCTTTCTTGGAACACATGCTTCTTATTATTCTTTTGCTTACTTCTTTCTGGTCTTCCAGGGACTCAGTGGGCCCACTGCATAAAGGAGGTAACTCCAGGCCTCTCCCCTCAATGTGGAGCTACAATGTGGGATGTTTGGGACACTTACAGTGTGTGGTCATAGGTCAGGGAAAGGAAAATCAAGATGTTTCAACTAAAGGCAGCAGTGATAAATCTGAACTGGGAATTCATGTGAGAAGAGACCATGGCTTCCAGAGGCATGTGGAAATGTGTGCAAACAATTCTCCCCTACTCTTTAAAATGTTGCTTCTGATTTGAGACAATTCTACTGTGAAACAGTAGACTGATCTTAATTCTGGGCAGGCTTTTGTGAAAGATGTTACATTCCTTAACATATTTATCATCAGCTCCTGATATTTTTCAACTGTGGACTGAAAGTGAATTATAGTTAAAATGGTCTGGAGGGATATTAATTAGATTTCCCCCCTAATCTTTTCAGAGGATGCCCTGTCAGCAATGAAGCATCTCACTGGTAATCAGAAAATCAGCTGCATTGGCTGGACTGTAGAAGAGATAAATCCCAAATCAGTCAGTTTTGCACTTGTCAGCAGCTCAAGGGAAATATTTGGTGAAGTTCGGATAAAACTGTTACCCAAGAGGAAGACTCTGTTCAATTCATCACACATGTATTGGACTCTCAGGTGCCAGACGCTGTCTAGAGACTGGGAATACAAAGAGGTTCTAAATTCAGACCAGTTGGCCTTGAATCCTGGTCCTGCCTATTAACAGGGGCAAGTTTCTTGAACTTCCTGTATTAGTTAGAAGAAAGGGCAAGCTTCTGTCACCAAGAGACTCCAGGGCATAAGCTTGACACAGCTCATCGTTTACTTCTCTCTCTCTTATCATAGTCGTGAGATGTGAGTCCAGATGGGCTCTTCCTCACGCCATGCTTCAGAAACCCAGCTCTCCCCAGTTTTGTGCTTTGCTGTTTCCTAAACATACTGTCTTCATCTTCCTGGTTGAAGCTGGGTTACTGCCAGGTCTTCACTCAAGTCCCAAGGATGGTGTTATCAGGCCAAGATTCAAAAATGGAATACATCACTTTTGCTTACATCTTACTTACCGAAACCCAGTGTCCAGGACAGAGCCAGCTGCCGGGGAACCTGGAAAGGGTGGTGACTGGCAGGGCCACTGTGTGTCTACCTTAAACTAGAGGTGCAGGTTCCACCAGCAAATGGATGACAGGGGAAACATTAACAATCTCTGCTACCTCCTGACACCTGTTTCTTGATCTCCAAAATTGGATTCATCAAGGCACCTATTCCATGGGGTTGTATCAGAATTCAAATGAGAAAAAAGAAGACAGAATTTAGCAGAGTGTCTGGAACATAGTGTTTAATCAATGTTAGTTATTATAATTAAGATTAAAATGCTTAATCGCAAATGCTTGCAATCCACTAGTGGAGAGAGTAGCTTAAATAACAAACTAATTTTGTCAAAGCACGTAGGAGGGAGTCATCCATTTTCTACAGTGAAAACGAGGAATGATAGGGAGGATTCACAGAGGGGGTGACAGTTGAGCAAGTTCTTAAAAAATAAACAGAATTTTTCAAGGCAGAAAAGGGACAGCAGCATATTCTAGCAAAATGAAGCAGCATGGCTTGACTCCAGAGAAGTAGAAATGAGCTATATTTCTCATAGTGTGTTCCTTGAGTCTCTTACTTTAGAAATCATCTGGGTCCCAGCCAAGACATACTAAACAAAATAGCTGGTGATGAATTTTTGAAAACTGCATGATAAAAAAACCTACCTTAGCCTATTGTTATATACGTAAAATTGAGTTAGAGCATCGACATCCTCAAGCAAAGCGTTCAAATTTTGTGTGGATTATGAAGAACTATGCTGCCCATTTAAACAAGAATGTTAGATAAACAATATTAAGGGGTTTAAAAATAAAAATGTCACCATTTTCTATGCAGTCAGCTCTAAGGTCAACTGTCTTAAACTAACAAATGTGTGAGCCGAAGACAGCTACGGTTAGCACCCAGCACCAAACTGCAGAAAACCCACCATACTTCACGAAACGTTTGTGTGTACACGCAGATTCTGCCTGCAGGGGCCTGTTTCTGACCTTGGCACAGCTGTTTCAATCACCAAGAAACCCTTCTCACCATTGAGCCATAGCGTGTATGCCCAGAAACTGCCACAGCACATAAGAACCATATTTTTCTGAATGCTTAACATGTGAGATAACAGAAAAAAATAACTGAATACACGTGATCACTGTCTGGACTGTGGAGTTTTCTTAACAGAGGGCTCATTTTGCTAAGATTATAATCTTTCAAATTGGAGTTCCTAAAGAATGATCACATTTCTTTTGCCTGGAACCTGAGAAAATTTTCTAAATAACCACTGTGGAGTCAATTGGAATGAGTCACAGCAGCAAAACTAGAAATTCCAGTCAATAGATCAAACTTTTATTTTAATTTCCACTTTACTTTTACTCATTATTTTATAAGCCCACAAATGTAACATAACTTAAGGGTACATACATCATACACGCCTTTGAAATCAGCAGAGAAAAGTTTCACGTCCCACCGCTCCTGGGACACAGGCGAAGCTCTGTGAGAACCGAACAGCAAGGGGAGCTGTGCCCCATGCTTTTGCTGCCCATCAGCCGTGCCGTGTGCTGGCACATGGGGAGTCTCCTGATTGTAAAAGGTTTTCTTTCATCTTAACAGGGAGAGTGTTGGTGATGTGCTGGGCCAATACGATCTGAGATATTCTTCTTTAACTATCAGATTCACTTGAGTCATAAAAATACATAATTTCATCTATGTTTTAGGTGAAAGACAACACCTTTAATAGAGAAGAAAAGCTCTTTAGATCTTTAGAAAAGACCGTGAGGCACTGTGTGAAGAACGTGTCGTTCTGTCTTCAACACATACAGGTAGGGGAAACACGGCTGTCTTCAGTGTTTCTACTATTAGGTACTGAAGTCCATGATTACCACGAAGAGCAAATGTGACTGTTCATTCATTACATGATGACGCCTACTGCATCAAATGTGAGGGACTGCCAGCTGCTGGTGAGGAAAGCCAATATAAAGACTCAGATTTTGTCCTTTGTTCCCTTATCTGCTCAGCCCTTCCCCAGCCCCAATCACCCGGCTGTCAGGCGTTTGCTGTCATGTGATAGGCATGGGTCATCAGCATGTTTTCCTGGAGATGAGCTCAGTAATGCAAATTGCAGACAAGGCAGAAATTTCCTTTGTTTATTTCATCTGACTATTCTAGGATATCTCTTCCCAGTACCCAAAACACATACTCGCAGATTTAAGAGTAGAACTGAAAGAAAGAAGATAATCAAAGAGGGACATAAAATAAAATTAGAAATTCTAAAGTAAAAAGTGCATAACATACAGGCCTTTTCAAAAACCCACAAAGCCCATGTCTGGGTCTCAGATTTAGCTGTATGCTCCCCAGCAGCTGACCCCCCAAAAGGCATGTGATCATGGTTCTGAGGACCTCTGTGTGTTTTACAACCAGCACTTTTTAATGCCCCCTTTACAGCTCTGAAAGAAATTAATAGATAATTCAACCTTAGGTAGGTAGGCATACATAAAAGAAAACCAATATAAATGAAAATAAATTCTAACAAAATGATGCAAATTAAAATATGCAAATGCTCCCACACAACCATAGTAAATGACAAAAATACCCCACAACTTTCCAGTCCACTACAAGGTTTTGCTGCCCTTGTTGAGAAGCAGACTTAAACAAAGCAATTGGAGTGCAGTATACTTCTATTCATTAGGCATACCAGACTGGAGTTTGTTCTAATGGATCTCATAGAAGAAACAACATCCCGACAATTGTCATAACTATGCAACGTAGATGGTGAGCAGAATTGCATGTAGGCCAGTTAATAATTGATTCCCATCCCATTTTCCAGTTTTTCTGTTTGATATCTGTTTTTGGAATCCAATCTTTGCATACTTAGATAAATTATCACAGCCAAAGAGGATTGACAGGCACACAATCATTTGGTGAAAAGGTTCTATGCTATGTAACCGAAAAGCCACATTCTTTTCTTATTTATTAACTGATGCAAAGCTTGATTTTACAATTAGGTTTACTAATCTCTTCCTAAAGCACTGCCTTCTGTGAAAAGAAAACCCATACTTATCTTTAACAGCCAGAGGACAGTGGGAACCCTGCTCTTGGTACACATTTTACTCAGAGGACAGTAGGGCACATTTTAAGGAGTTACACATTTTAAGGAGAAAATGCCTCTTGGGAACATTTACAGGAAAGTCTTATATTTCCACTGACTGTTTCAACAAAAATGTGAGCATCTTCTCTTAAAAAGATCATTACATGCACTAAGGAAAACTGAAGACATAAATCAAAGAGGAGTGATTTTTTTGAAAATGAGGGATCTCTAAGAATTGAATGCTGAAGAATAGCCAAGCAGGGAATTCAATAAAAGAGAGTGCCATCCAGAACAGTATGAGACATGGGGGAAAGTGAAGAATAGATTGTAACAAGTAACCCGACTATACGGGGTATTCATGAATTTTTTCCCTTTCTTTTTTTTTTTCTTCTTCACACCTCTCAGTGGGAATGGAGAGCTCTGATGATGAAGTGTCTGTCTGGGATATGTGAACTTGTACTGACTTCAGAACTTGCCCTTTGTGTGACTTTGTTTTTGGGTTTCAGGAGGCTGTGGGCTCACCTCTGCAGAGTGTAAAGGAGCTCCAGGAGATTTCCTGCATCAAGGATGAGGAGGAGAGAGCCCACTCGGAGGCCCCGAGTCATGCCTCAAATCCCTGCGATGACTTTGTGAGTCATTTATCTTCATAGAGAAATGCAAATTAAATAATAGGTTTAAAGGAAAAACTGCTTTTCATTCACTTTTCTGAAGTTAGAAATAAAACATGCACTAAAGCAAATACTAATGTAAAATTTGGTGCATTTAAAACAGGAGATTTTATCATTAAATATTTTCAAGTGGACTAGTGAAGATTTCACTGTAATAAAAATTTAAGAGGGCCCCAGATTGTGTTTCTAGGGGGTTGTGTCTGTACCACTAATGTCAACATTTACTGAAGTCTGCATGTGATAGAGCGAGGACTTACTAACTTAGAAAGTTGTGACTTGTCTTAAAGGAGTCTCTGGAAAATCCCGGAGTCCTTGCAGGAGGCATGAATACCCTCTCCAAAGGTGTGACTTTTATTAACATACTGTAGGCTACAAGTAAAGCCTTTTTATTGAGAAAACATGTTCACATAAGAGTCATATATTATTTCTCCTGTTCTGTGGTAAATACTTGTTTTCTAAGAGTTCTGTAACATACACAGAATCATAAAACATAGTTTGGGAATCATGAAAACATACTTGAGCCAAGAAAATGTTTGTGAGGTAAGCTAGTCTGACTAATACTTATTTTAATTTAGCATCTTGTGCTCCAGAGGTATTGTTATTTCATAAGCGCAATTCAAGTATATTATATAAAAATATATAATGGTCTCCTTCATCATCTGGAAGGTCCTGGAAAGTGGCATTTTTGTGTCGGCATTACTGGCATTTTGGGTCAGACAAATCTTCATTGAGTGGCCCTGTGTTGAAGGCTGTTCAGCTTCCTGGCATGGCAGGCTCTAAATCTCAGTAAAGTCCCTCCGTCTCAGGTCGTGACATCCACTGAATAGCCCCACATATTTCCGAGTCCTAGGAAATGATAGCCTCCACAATTGTAGAAAGGCACTGAGAAGCATCTTGCTTTCCTGGCACGGGAAACAGAAAGTTCAGATTACATCTGAACTAACATGATAGATTAGATGAATGAGAGATGGAGGGAGGGAGAGGAGTTTTATGACACATATTAAATGGAAATAGTGTGGCCAGTTCTTACACATTTTCTGGGCTTAATTACAGACAGCACGTTTTGGAAAAGTTCATAAGGGTTTGCTCTTTATTTTAATTCTAATTCATTAACTAAGTCAATGAGTATTTATTGAGCGCCATGTAAAAACATGGTTTATAGCTTCTCTCTCATTAAGAATGCTCCAGAATCTGACAGAAGAAAGAGACAAGGTGTCCTTTCTTATCTTTCATAAAACAACAAGATGATAAATTAGGATAACTTTAAATGATTATCAGAAAAATTCAACATAAAAGTAACTTTTTGCAGATAATGTATATTTAAACTCTACTTAAAAATCAAACATCTATCTGAAGGCACAGCAGTTTTTATCTAACCATGAAACATGCTTTTCTGCACATTTTGTATGGGGAAAATATTAAAATAAAATAGATTCTTATTTATTCCAACTATGACTCCTGTGCGCAGGTGAATTGGTTCGTGTCTATAGCTCACAGGACACGCATGTAATTACAATGTAATAATGTAACTAGACTGCCCATAGAGTCCAGTCATGTCGCAAACACAGCAGTTTACCCCAGAAGAGTAAACGGATTCTTTACTCAGTCAAAGGACTCATTTAGCAGTCTGCAAGTATATGTAGATTACTTTATAAATTAGACATCAAATTTAATCTGGGTTGGCTATTGCTAGCACCAATAAGAGACTGGTTTCTCTTCTCTTCTAGATTTCCCATGAGTTCAAAGTTCCCAGAGACCATTTAAGTTTGTTAATAGCAGCTGCTGCTCGGATCTGATACCCTAGGACATCTTTTGGGGCACAGAAGGAAACTTGCTTCCAAACTGCCGTAACATAGTCACAAAACCCAAGCACGTATCACAAAGGGTAAAGCTGGGTGGTCAGCAAACAGGATGCAAGTGCCCTTCAGAGTTAGAAGGGGAGAAAGGGAGAATTAGAAGGGGAGAAGGGGAGAATTTAATTTTCTCTGTAGAGAAAATTAAATATCAGGTGCTCAGTTTCTGGCATGGGGTTGGGCATTAATATTAAATTCATTTTTAATGACTCAGACCTAAAAATGAAACACTTTAGGAGACAGAATCAGCATCAGCTTAATTCTTCACTGTATTTAAAGAGGAAGCAATACTCTGGTCACAGGAGCAAAATACCTGTAACAAGGAGGTACTATCTGTAAAAGGGATACAATTCCACTACCAAACCAGGGTAGCCACAAAATTGGGGCAGATGTGAAAGGAATAGAAGACAGTCTCTTCTAGGACTATCTTCCTTTTGTTGCCAGCAAAAGCAATATGGTGAATTATCTATGCAGTTTTTTTTTAATTGATTTTAGAGAGAAAGGGAGGGAGAAAACCCTCAATTTGTTTATGCATTCCACTTCTTTATGTATTTATTGGTTGATTCTTGAATGTGCCCTGACCTGACTGCAACCTTGGCCTATCAGGTAGATGCTCTAATGCATCTAATCAATGCATCTAATCTAGATGCTCTGGCCAGGGGCTACGGTCTTGGCAGCCAAAGGGTAGAGATCACCTCCTCCCCCCAGTACCCCCTCCCAACTCCTTTGTTGGCTCTGGGATGAGAAAGAAGGGAAAGGGGAAAGTGTGGAAGGAGACGATCCCAATGAAAAAACAGCAGCTATAGAGAAAAAGGTGGAGCATATTTGGGGTGTGCAGTCTTCAACTTTTATATTCTTTTTCCTTCTCACCCTTCAGATTCAGTGTTAGAGTCTACACCTCTGTTTGAAGTCCTTGAACAGATTAGCTAGACGTGGCTAATCTGTGCTCCTGCCGGGAGGAGTGAGCCCACTGATAACCCGGGGGATCTTCTGTGACAGGCTGTTTCCTCCTTTGGCAGGCAGCTCATTTACAGAAGCTCGTGCTGACGCCCCTGGCAGCCCTGCTGTCCCTGTTCCCAGGGCCTCACAAGCTCATCCAGAAACGCTATGACAAACTGCTGGACTACAACAGCTACCTGCAGGGGGCAGCAGGAGACGAATCGGACTTGGCCAAGAAGGAGTATGAGGCCCTCAACGCCCAGCTTGTGGAAGAGCTCCAGGTGTTCAACCAGGCCGCGCGGAAGATCCTGTGGAACAGTCTGTGCAGTTTCATCACCCTCCTCAGGGACCTGGCGCTGGTGGTACAGAGGCTTTATTCCACCGTGGTGCCGGTAAGCGCAGCGCCAGAACCCAGCCACCTGAGTCTGTGGCGTCTATTAGAAACCGCACGCGTGCAAATCAGCCGTGCTGATAGCCTGCGTGAGCACGGTGCGTGTCCGTGCCTGTGTGGTTTTCAGTTTAATTGAAGCCAGATAGCCTTCTGCTTCTTTTCTCTATTTAGGAAGCTAAAAGAGTTTCCTTACTCAGGTTTGCCATAACTTCCGCACTTGCAGTTTGCTTGAGAGATTCCTCTTCAAACGCCAACCCACTTTGTGCTTTGCTCCTTTCGCTGATGAAACCAATTTCGCTCCACCTGCCTGATGCTGTGTGTCAGCTTCTCGATTTGTATTTTGCATTCTTTTCTCATTCAATAGTTTTCCAGTGTTAACCATGATTAAGATGTGGACCCAAAAAGGAGGCCATCGCAGCGTAATGACAGTGGTAGGGTGATTGTCAAACCAGTCCTCATTTGCTTTTGCTTTCCTCCAAAGAAGAGAAGCCCGGACCTGTGTGTGCGCGAATACATGCACACATCTCAGGTAGCCTTCCATTAGGATGACAGTGTTCACCCTTCTTCATCTCATGGCACACATAAACTTAATTACTATAAAATTCTGCAGCACACACACAAAATACATATTTTTTTTGCTGATCTGAAAAAAATTAGTATAATTTTGATTCATTTATACTGATGGTCATTGTTGTGTGTTGGCTGTTGTCATTTCTTTATTTGACAATCTAAGGGAAAACAGGTCAGTGCCCCTGACTAAACAGTCAGGTGTTGCCTGTTTTAAACATTCTTTGCAGCACACCAGTGTGCCGTGGTACACTGCCTGAAAATCCCTGCATTAAGATCTGGTTTTATAATTATTTTCTGAAGAGGGAGAAAGATATTTACAACCTAAGGTCAACTTTAAAATATCAGTTTGCTTTCTTGGTCTTTCATGTCAAGTGTATTGGTTCTCATTCAGCTGGCTAGATATTTAATGGACATTTGGAAAAATTGTCTCTATTTTTTATTGTGTATCTAACTTTCAACTTTTCCTTTGAATTAAATTATATTGAATCAAAAGATGCTACGTTTACACGGTTCAAAAGGCAAAACTATGTAAAAATATATAAGCACCCGCTCGTGTCTCCCAGCCATCCCGCCTTCTGCTCCCACCCCCGTGATTATTCATTTATTTTCACCCACCTGCGGCTCCTGTATGACATTTTTTAAATTTACTTTTAATGGGCTAAAGATAGTTTATTCAATGAATGGTGTTGGGAAAATTGAACAGATACATGCAAAAAAAATGAAATTAGACCACCTTCTTATGCCACACACAAGAATACATTTAAAATGGATTAAAGGCTTAAATGTTAAAAAAATATGGAACACTTCATGAATTTGCATGTCATCCTTGCACAGGGGCCATGCTAACCTTCTCTATACCATTCCAATTTTAGTGTATGTGCCGCTGAAGCAAGCACTCCTGTGTGACATTAAAAGTACATTCTGATACATACTGTTACTTCCTACATAAAACTAGCAAATTGCTTTTTAATATCCTGAGGAGGCGTCCATGTCCATACACAGGACTGCATCACCCCTTTTACAGCTTTATACCTGTCTACTGCATAGGTGTGTTGCCGAGTATTACCAGCCTGCTATTCGGGGTTGGAGGGCGGGGGAGGGAAGAGGCAATCACCAAGCTCCACTGAAATGTGAAAGAATCTGGGGATCCAGTTGCTTCGTAACAGCTCCAATTGTCTCTAACTACAAAACTAATTTTGCCAAATGTGATGGTAGGAAACAACCAGTAGTCATTTATTATCATTGCCTCTCATGGTTCTGGGGGGCCCTTGGGCTCAGATCATCATTCTCAATATTGCTCATGAGGTTGCAGTCAAATGACAGATGGGGCTCGAGTCATTGCAAAGATGCCCTCAGGCCTTTACAGGCTGAGGATGGGATGAGGATGGGAGTCAAACAGCTGGGAACTGGAACAGTAGGGCTCCATACACCCCCCTCTCTCCTTCTCTCCTCTCCTCTCTGATATCTCAACATGGGCTTTTGATATCCTGACATAACGCAACTAGACTTCTTCTATGGTAATGAAAGTCTCCCTCGAGTGAGTGTCCCAAGAGAAACCAATAGATATTGTGATCTTTTCGAACTTAATTTTGAGAGTCAGACAGCATCATTTCCATTGTTCTGTTCATGTCAACATTCTCCTCGTTGAGGCAAGAGTAAAGGCCCACCCAGTTCTGAGGGAAAGGGACATGGATTCCATCCACCTCTTGGTGGAAAGCACATCAAAAAATTCTCTGATTTGTTTTAAAACAACTTACCCTCTTTCTGCTTCACACTATCCCACTCCAGTACCTGGAAGGTGACTACTGCCATCAATTCCTGAGCCTTTAGAAAGAAATTTATTGCTATTTTCTTTTTCTGTTCTCCTTTTATTAGGCTTGAATCTTTGAAAAAAATCATCTCTATCATTTTAATAGGATTTCTGGGTGCAGAAAATTAGACCATTTTTATCTGGAAGTTCTAACATTGGACTAATTTTTCACTGTGGAGCTATCATGTACTTTCTCAACTGCCCTTCACAGCTCTGCAAATTAGGTACCTAAATGGTTAAATAGTTGCCTGGGAACAAAGCCATATTATTTCTACCTACAGGTACCACTGTTGGTTTCAAACATCTCTGAAATACAGAATAGAGTACTAGAAGAAGTTCAAAATCTAAATTTTGTCAAGGATAACAGTGCCACATTTATTGAGAGGAAACTTAGTTTTGAAAAGAAGAAGCCTGGGCAAATTCCGGTGAGTGTGGTAACATTCATGGTAGTGATGGCTGTCAGTTCTTTGCCTTTTTAAAATCACAATATATTATTTTCCATATCACTTGTCTCATTGTAATATCCTATAATTTACACACTTATTTTAAATTTTAAAAAGATTTTATTTATTATTTTTAGACAGAGGGGAAGGAGGGAGAGAGAGAGGGAGAAAAACATCTCTGTGTGGTTGCCTCTCATGCACACTTCGCTGGGGACCTGGGCTGCAACCCAGGCATGTGCCCTCGCTGGGAGTGGAACTGGTGACCCTTTGGTTTGCAGGCTGGTGCTCCATCCACGGAGCTACACCAGTCAGGGCTACACACTTATTTTATACAGAATTTTTTTGTCCATTTCACACTCTCTGTGAACTCTGTAAGGTTATAGATATTTCTCTGTTTTGTACATAATGTATTCCAAGCAACTAAAATGGTGCCTGATACAAAGTAGATACTCTATATGTATTTGTTGAATAAATGAATATAATTTTATGGAATAAAAGTGTATAGTTTAAAACTTTCATTTTTTTCTAAATAAGGAATGTCAGGCTCCAGAGATGAAGTGACTTTCTCAGAGTCACTTAGTGGCAGAGCTGGGACGGAGTCAGACCTCCTGACTTCTGTATAGTTTACTGATATTATTTCCCCTCTCAAAAGACATGCTCGTGTATGAGTTACTTAATTAAATATTATTTATCAAGTGCTTAATATGCAAGGGACTGTCTAGAGTGTGACAAAAAAACCTAAAAATTTGTCCAACATATAAGAGGGATTAGAACCCCCGCCTTTTTATTTTCTTTGAATTTTCTTTCTTCTCTACAATACTGCCCTCATGTGCTAAGTAGAGATTTTTTTCCACTGTATAACTCACCTGAATACTTTACAATGATAACCCGATCTGTGCCTCAACACTGAAATAATCCCAAATCTATGTATGACTTCAACATTTTAAAAATTTCCAGAGTATTTATCAACCCAGTGAGGGTTTTATTATACATCTATCTAAACCAAAATTTCTCCTTATTTCTCCCAGCCAGAAGTGCCACATCAAACTGACACTCACCGCTCCAAGCTTCTATCCACATACAGTACAGAGGAACTCTACCAAGCTAAGCGCAAGTGCAACGCTACGCAAGAGTATGACATCGATCTTCTAGAAGGGGAGTTGGTGGCTGTGATGGAGCAGAAAGATCCATTGGGGAGTACTAGCAGGTGGCTTGTTGACACAGGAAGTAAGTGTTCTGCCTGAGGTGCACAGGACTACCACATCTCCTCTGGGGGAGCTTCTCCCAGGACCTTTGTGTGCTTCTCTAAACGCAGATGCTGGGAGGTGTACACAAATGACCTTGTTTCTTCTTTCTTTTTATTCCTGCCCAGTTATAAAAGGGTATGTGTACTCTTCCTTCCTAAAACCGTACAATCCAGCAAAAGTACAGAAGGAAGGTGATGAGAGCAAGTCCTTCAATGATGATTTTGATAACATCAGCCTCTTCGTGTCTGCGCGGCCAGCGAGGGACAGTGTCACGAGCACCCCGGAAGGTAGCATAAGCGACAGCAGTTCATCTCTCAGTGGCACAGGTGGAAAGTTTGAGACAAACGGCACTGACGACAGTTTTCAAGAGGTAGATGAACAGGTAAGAATTTCAACCTTGAGGTAAAAATGCTCAGCTGTTCAAATCACGAAAGATGTTCTTGCTAATGGGGCTCTCTTGTACTTTAAGACTTGGTACAAGAGCATCAACTTTGACATCAGGAAGACCTGACTCTGTTAGCACTTATTGTCTGTGTGAGTTTTTTTGCAAGGAGTTCATTCTCAGAGACTGTTGCCTCGAATGCAGGAAAGAGGGGAGTAATTCCTAGTTTGCAGATTGGTGTGAGGATTAGAGATAATGTGTGCAGGGAAAGTGTGCAGCGCAGAGTGGACACTCAGTAAACAGCAGTGTGGCCGTTACCATCCTGCTGTGATGTGCTGAGAGTGAAGGTGGTCTATTCATACTCCCCACTGGGGAAAACAGCTCAGCCTGAACAGATTGCCAGCAGCGTGTGGAAAATTGTTCCTGATTCTTCTGAGAGCAATATTTCCATTGTTTTCTATGAATTGGACATTTTTAATCTTGTATAATAATATATACTACATACTGTATACCGAAATGTTAAGAGCTACTTTTCCCTCACTGCATCAGTGCAAAGGCTATTGGGATGATCCTTTGGCAAAGTAATGTTAACTATAATGTAGGCTTTCTTCCTTTGACCCCAGAGAGTTTCAATCCATTTAACTGTTAATCCCCAACTGGTGACCAACTAATTGTTATTTTTAATCTGCTTTTCCCTATAGTGGCTTTTTATTAATTTTGTTTTTTACAAGGGTAATACATGTTATTTGTGAAAAATTTAAAAAGTAGAAAGATTATATATGAATTATAAATAAGGGTCTTTATTCTCTCCCCAGTTATTCTCTGATTCAGAGACAATATTCAAGCATATCTTTCCAGACATTGTGCTCACACAAACACATATGTGAGTGGGAACATGCATGCATCACACATACAAGCACAAGTGTGAGTGGGAACATGCATCATTACACATGCAAACATATATGTGAGTGGGAGTGTGCACGTGCTACACATACAAACATGCAGGTGGGGACACATGCAGACACATATGTGAGTGTGTACACACATGCTACATATGAGGGTGCACATGTGAGTGGGAACATTTATGCACTACGCACGAAACACATATGTGGATGGGAACACACATGCACTGAGTTTTTTTAATAAATGTAGTTTAGACAACAGTACCTAAATATCTACCTTAATTTTTAAGGCAAATCTGCATAGCATTCCTTTTTGTGGATATATCATAATTTATAAAGCTATTACCCTAGTAACAAACATTTAGAATATTTGGGATCTTTAAAATTTCAAACAATATTTTAGGCAAGACCTTTGTTCATCTATTTTGTGCACATATATGAATATGTCTGTAGGGCAAATTTCTAAAAATATTAGAGTAAGAAAGGATGTATATATTTAAAATCTTGATAGACATTGCCATACTACTCTCCATAAATATTTTATCTATTCAGTGTCTTCATCAACAACACATGGATTGCCATCCCATTCATGATTGATACTTTAAAAAAATCTTTATTTTAAAAAAGCAGGTTCATGTAATGTTTTATTTATATACCATAAAATTAACTGATTTTGAGTATGCACTTCAACAACTCTCAGTGTATCCCCAGGGCTGTGTGACCGCCACCCAAACCCCACTGTAGCACACTCCCTTTACGCTAAAGGTCCTCTGCATCCATTCGCAGTCACTCTTCTTTTTCACTTCCAGCCCCAGGGAGTCGTCAGTCTATTTTTGTCCTCCATAGATTTTCCTTTTCTCTATGTTTCATATTAATGAGATCATGCAATATGTGGTATTCTGCATCTGGTTCTTTCACTTAGCATAATTTTTTTGAGATTCATCTCTGCTATAGTATGTGTATGTACTTTGTTGCTTTTATTAGCTAATAGTGTTTTATTCTATGGAGATAGCATATATTGTTCATCCATTTATAAGCTGATGAGCATTTTGGGTAATTTCTATTATAAATAACTCTGCTATCAACATTTGTGTGCAAGGCCTTGTGTGAATTTAATTTCTCTCAAGTAGATACCTTGCAGTGGAATTGCTTGCTGATATAGTAAATTTATGCTTGACTTTTTAAGAAACTGATGGATTGTTATTCGAAGTGGCTGCATGATTTTACATACCCAATAGCAATGTATGAGGATTGTGGATTACAGTTTCTTCATATCGTTGCCTTACTTTCCATCTTTTCTATTATAACCATCTTAATGGGAAACCGGTGGTATCTCACTGTGGATCTAATTTGCATTTCCCTATATGACTCATGCTGTTGAGTATCTTCCCTGTACTTATTGGCCATTTCTGTATCTTCTTTGGTGAAATGTCTTTTCAAATATTTGTCTATTTTAAAATGGGGTCATTTGTCTCCTATTATTTGATGCAAGGGTTCCTGGTATACTCTGGCTGCAGTTCTTTATCATGTATAAAATTTGCAAACATTTTCTCTTAGCCATAACCAATTCTTAACTTCTCTAGAAACTACTATGTGTTCTTATCACTTTCCTGTCTTGGTCCTGAGCCTTCAAAACACAATTTTTCTATTACTTCTTTAGACTTTTAGTCTCTTCATTGTTTCTATAATATCGCATTATAATACCACCCAATACATGAACCAGTGAAATCTATATACCTGATTAAATGCCCTGGCAGACTGTGCCTTACCCCTATAACCTAGAAAGAAATTTGAGGACCATATTTGTCAAGACACCCTAAAGCAAGCTTGATGTTGACTTCTAGTCCTAACTTGGCTTTACTTTTTAGAGTAAGTACCTCACTTAGGTTCATTCAGCGTGGGATTTGTAGTCTAAAACTACATCTAGTTACTACCAGCTGCTACTTGCAAAGTAAGGCTTTGAGTAATCTTATCAATCTGTCCATTAAAAGTTTCCATTACCAAAAGGAAAAAATGAAGTAATTTTCTTTTGCTCAAAACAGAAAGTATATTGATGGTATCTCTCCACAAAGCGCTATTTGTTCTTTTCTTTTCCTCTCAATTTGGAACCAATTGAAGATAGACCCTTATGTCAGGAATGTAAATATTAGCATTATTACTAATATAGTGGGATTAGAAAATACACAGCTTGCCTCCTTGGCCAAATAGGATCCCCTATATTCCCTCTGAGTTGAAATAACCCAGCCCAAATGGCAGGTTTCTCCTGTGTGTGGGCAAAGTCTGCCCCATAAAGTTAATACAAGTTGAAGAGAGTACACTTGTTGGAAACCCCAGTACAAGGAAGAGAAGTAAAGGCTGCATAGGAATATTTCCCTTAATTGCAGCCAGTAGATGAAAATGCCCAGTATTTTTGATTGTCCTCATCTTGCAACTGCTGTTCATCCCTTGGAAACAGGGAAAGCCTATCCAACCTCCCTAATCCTTGCCACAGGATTGATGTTTCTATTCTGTTGGCTCTTAGAAAGTGTGGAGGGATGAACATGGTTAACCTCCCATAAGTTTGGTCTGACAGTCTAAGCGGACAAAACACTGTAGAGGTCCCTGTAAGGTGATTGAAAAGTGGGAACAAATTGTATCATCTTTGTGAACAGTGAGAATACACTCTATGTTATAATGTACACATCTGAGTTACCCTACAAAGCAATTTTCTGTGTGGCTATTTAGACTTTTGTTCTGGATTTTACATTATTAGGAATATCAACTGAAACCTGTACTGGCTTAATTGGCTGACAGTTTGGGTCGGCATTTCTTTCCCTATCCTTTCCTACCATGGCAGCCAAACTTCTGCTCTCCTCCAGAATTGCAAGGGGGAGGGGTGTTATCAGCTGTAATCCAGTCTTATTGATGGATGTAGTGAATCTTGACAGTAACTACAGATGGATGGGTAGCCTTGGCCTGTGCTTGACAGTCAGGGGACTCTGTGGGGCCTAAAAGTCAGTCGGAAACACCCAGGTTCTGACTGACTTAATATCTAGTGTCTCTGTGATTTTTTACACTAAACTGTTTTTAAGCTGAAAGAACTCAAAAAATAAAAGGGTCCATGAATGGGATTTGGGAGATTTCATGAATCTCCTCAAACATGCTGCAAATAGTGTGCTCATGAATATAACTAGGGTAAAAGAAGTCTGTATCTTTCTTTCACTAGATTTTCCCAGAGAAACTCTATTTAAAAATTAGGTTAGAAATCACTGCTCTAGAGCCTTAAGTTATTTACCCATTCTTCCACTCAAGGAAGAAGAAAAGTTATTGGGTAAGGAGCCTCCAGTATATTCTAGGACAGTTATAGTGGATCAGGAGTCTTACATGTAGGCTAAAAATATAACTTAGCATCTATAGTGGGAAACTTTTCTTCATGAAAGAGAGTACCTACTAGATGAGATACCATGCCAGGTGTGAGCGGGAGGGCTGGTCACTCACTGGGGCCTTGGAACCAACTCATTCAGAGTCCTCCCTGCACATTCCACACAGAAAGCAGGGACTTTATCTAAGTGTTTTGGAAGCTCTCTTGAATGATAATTCAGAGGTTCTGTAGAATAATGGGATGAACGAATGGATATTCATAGTCTGACAGGACTGGTTTATAGTAAAAGACTTAATTTTTAACTTCTCAACTTCTTTTCTAACTACTTTATGCTACATCAAAAAGCATAGCAGTCAAACAAATATGCCTTCCCATTGTAATGTACTGCTCCCTTTTGCTCATCAAATAGTGACTACATGAATTAGTTTTCTGTGCTGCATAACAAATGCTCGCGAACTAAGTAGCTTAAAACAACATACTTGCATCGCCTCACCAGTGTGGGGGGGCAGCAATCCAAGCACAGATTAGTTAGCTGGGCGCCCTGCTTAACATCTCACATAGCTGTGACCTGGACTGGCCACCTGTGCTCTTTTTGAAACTTGGGATTCTCTTCCAAGCTTGTGGTTGTTGGCTGAATTCAGTGCCAGTAGGATGGAGGCCTCTATTTTCCCGCTAGACATCAGCCAAGGACAAAATTCAACACCTAGAGGCTGCTCTCAGATCCTTGCATGTGGCGATCTCTGTAGCAGTCCGCCGCATGGTTGTTTGCTTCTTCAGGGCCAGCAGGCGAGAGTCTCTCTGGCTTTAAATCTCTCCCTTCAGAGAAGGCCTAGACTCTCTTTTAAAGCACCTCATTATGTCAGGATACTCAGATAATCTTTACCTAATTGAAAGTCAACTTACTAGGGGTCATATTAGGCACTTCTGCAAAATCCCTTTACATTTGCCATATGACGTAACCTGATCACAGGAATGTGTGTCATATTCACCATGGGGATTGTATATTACAGAGGTGTGTAACAGGAAGTGGTAACCTTGGGTTCCACCTTTGAATTCTGCCTACCTCAGTCTCTGAGATGACTCCTGTGGCTAGCAGGATGTTGGGCTACTGTGATGCAATCTTTGGTGCTTCTCAAAGGATCAGACTTAATAATGACTAAAACCCAGTTTTAGAGGGAAGTTAAGTGCACTTTTCTTTTTCCACATAAATTATACTAAGGACATAATTTTTGACTTCTTAAAAGTTAGTTGTTTTTGCTAATTCTAAATTCATTGTCTGGTCCTTCATTTTTATATTTTCAACTATTTATAATAATAATAATGCTAGGTCTAGTATGTTATTGTTTAGAAAGTGCTTCAGAAGTCAGCAAGCTGGAGCACAATGTATTTGAGTAGTCATTAAAGTGATATTTTAGAAAGCTTTAATGACATGAAAAGATTTTTAAATATATTTTCAAGTGAAAAAGCAGGTTGAAAAAATTATGTGTACTCTAATTGCATGTTTATTACCATTTTGGGGAGGTAGGTAGAAAAAAGACAAAGTAAAGAATGAAGGCAGGAAGCAAGGAATGGAGGAAAGGTATTAATAGCAGTTGATTTCTTTGTTTAATTTTGCCTACCTTTGTTTAAAATTGTTTTTTTAAAATAAAAATTACTTGAGTAATAACTATACATAATTGTTAACTAAAGAATATGAAAGCTTGCTCCTGGAGAGTAAGAGAGAAAAATGAACATTTACAAAAATTTAATGTAACTATTTTGGCTCCCTGATCTCTGTATAATATTGTAAACACTAGTTTATAGGGTTTTTTAGTTTTGGAAGGGTATATTAAAACATATTATGATTTTTCATTGCTAATCAAAGAACTGGGATGAAATCAACAAAATAAGATGCAGGGAAGACAGGTAACATGGCTCACTAGGGGAGGAATAATTGAATGTGCAAACAGAATACAGAAATGCTGAACGGGGAAATATCCGGTGGTGCTAACAGGGGTAATGAATTGGCTGTGAGTCAATACTGCAACAATACAGAGTATTATACAAAAAAGGAGGTGCTGTGGGGAACTGGATAGCATTCATAGACTATTGTGCATAAAATGAACCAGAGCTTTAAAAAGAAGCAACCAATAAAAATATATTTTAAGAAATGCCAAGGAAAAAAGAATTAGATGATTATGGCTTACTAAAATTTTAATATATCTGGACCAAAACATATTAACATAGAAAATTAGAAAGATACATCCTAGAGTAATTAAAATATTTAAAAATAAGAAATCTTTTAACTCTTAAAACCATAAGAGGTTGAAACTTCTAACTCATAGTGCAATGTTACAAACTGTTGTCTCATTAAAAGTAGACATATTTCCATTTTTAGTATCTATTTTATGTTAAATGGAGATATAAACATATTATATAAAAACTGAAAACTTCTCATCCTAAATTAATTTTGGATCATGAGCATTTAAAGTAGTGAAAGTATACATTATAATTGTGTAGTTTAAATTTACAACTTTATGAGAATCTATATTTAGTGTTTAAAATATAAGCTCTAATTTCAAACCAAATAGATCTAGGTGGAAGATTTTGTATATTTCCCTTAAGAGAATATGTGCCAAAAAGAAAGAACTACAAAATACAGTTGACCCTTGAATAATACTGGTTAAAAATGTGCATGTCCATTTACACACAGATTTTTTTAATAAATAGAGAAGAAGTACTTTCTCTTCCTTACGATTTTCTTAACATTTTATTTTCTCTAGTTCAGTTTATCATAAGAATGCTGTATGTAATACATATAACATCTAAAATATTTGTTAATGACTGTTTATGTTAAGATTTCTGGTCAACAGTAGGCTATTAGTAAAGTTTTGGTGGGAATGAAAAGTTATACGTGGATTTCAACTGTTGGGGGGGTGGTAGGTATTGTAACACCCCCTCCCCCACATTGTTCATTGATCAACTGTGTTTAGGAATAATATATTAGTAGGTGATTCAAACTGCTTAAAAATTCTGAGCATGATACATATAAAAATTATAAATATATATAAAACAATGTATAATAATTACAAAAGATGACTAGCAACTGCTAATGTAGGCTCTTACAGATTATTTTCGCAAGTCACATCGTGATGGTATGTTACATTTCTGAGTGCTTTTGCAAATCAAATGCTCCACTTTGCTCTTGTAGATCTATTCAATGTCTTCACTTTCTAAACAACACTGAAACAACAACATATTAGAGAGTCCAGTCACGTTTCACAAGAATACACTCTGCATATCTTTGCCAGAACAAGAGTTTGGTTCCTAAATTATTATGAGAACAGATAAGCACAGAATTTGGAGTTGGAAGATACAGTCCTAGCAGCACCCACTGGCTCTGTGATCCAGAGAATGTCCCTACTTCTCCAAGTCACAGTTTACAGGGCTGTTGAGGATAAAGCACATTTGATATGTAAATTGTTGTGAGCACTACAAAAGGTAGATATTTTTGCTGCTACTCCATTGCTCAAAAATTTATGGCACCTCCTTTTTTGTTGTCTTTACTTTTTAAATTACCAAATAAGCCATGTCTGACAATCTGCCTTCCATGTGTCTTATATGATACAATATGACCTCTTACATGTTCTTGTATGATATATAAGCCTTTCAGCCTAACTTTCAAGTCAAATCAACATATATTTGAATCATTACTGTGTACCAGGATGTAGTCCGTGGAGAGAAGTTGAAATGTGGTTCCTCTCCTTGAGGTGAAGCTCATGCTGGAGTTGTTGAGACGATATACAAATCAATGCTCTTAGAGTTTCACCAAAAGTTAAATAACAGTTGAAGATTTAAAGAACAACTTAAATTGTAACTGTAGTTCCAGTCTCTTTCCTGCTCAACAAAATCACCTATTTCTCATTATTTCCTGTCTTACATTGACCCGCAATTTTGAGAAAGTTAATCTGCTTGCCTTTCCTGCATACTGTTTGCATGTATTCATCTCTGTACCTTGAATGATATATTCACGCCTTTTATCAACTTTGTGACCTATAAAAGGTTTCTAATTCCACAACCCAGCTCACTATTAGTTGATATATCACCTACATGTGGAGGGTGTTTTTTTGTTTTGTTTTGTTTTTGTGTGTGCCTTTGTTGTAAAACATTTGTTTTTCCTAGCTGGGTTACAAGTTCTCTCACAACATAGTATCTGGTGCTTAATAAGTACTAATAAATTCTGACTAAATGAATAAATCAATGTATTAGTTGATTGGTTAATCTTATACCATAACTAAACATTTTTATTAACAGTCTTATGATTTTAGTGGAAGAGGGACTGAATACTTATTAGGGACTTCTTATGCTTCTAATATTTATGAAGTATTCTTTTGAGGTTAGAGAAAAATTCTTTTTTTTTTAAAGATTTTATTTACTTATTTTTAGAGAGGGAAGGGAGGGAGAAAGAGAGAGAGAGAGAGAGAGAAATATCAATGTGCGGTTGCTTGGAATCATGGTCTGCAACCCAGGTATGTGCCCTGACTGGGGATCGAACCTGCGACACTTTGGTTCGCGAGAAAAATTCTTTTGACTAAAATGTGTTTTACTAGATTCTTCTAGGTCACTTAGAATATTTTGAATATTATAAATTTAATACATTGTCATTATATATATTTGGAAAATAAAAAAACAAATAAGTAAAAATAAAAATCACCTCTAATTCTACCAAAAAGTCTAACAATATTAGACTTACGTTGTACATCTGGTTTTATGTTTTTTTTGCTTACTATTTTATAATAATTATTTTCCCATGTTATTAGTTATTTTTAATTACTACAGATTTCCTTAATATATGGGCTAGAATTCATTCTCTTGCATAAGCTTCAGTGCAATTTTTCCTTCTCCCCCACTTTTCACCCTATAACTCAACTGGCTATTGCAGTAACAGTGTTATGCAAAAATGTGTCAATGTTTCCATTTCTGTTGGAGAGATTCTAACAGCTATTACTGAATAAGAAATTAATATTAAAAAATTGCCTAATAGAAACTGACAAACTGCCTTCTAGCACAGTTTAGACCCCTCCCAACAGGACACTAAAAATGCCTATTTCACTCAATTCTTGTGTGGACCATACTTTTGCAAAATACATCCATCAGGAGTTGGGAAATGTCCCTTTAGGGAAAAGAAGAAAGCTTGCATTCCTTCTCAAAGCTTGGGAATCTCTATTGCATCTGCTAACATCTTTAGGTTCTGCTTCTAATTATGTCTTTTGCTTCTTTGTCTAGATTTTCTATGCAGTTCACGCCTTTCAAGCACGAAGTAACCATGAACTCAGCCTTCAGGAATACCAAAGAGTCCATATACTTAGATTCTGTGACCTAAGTGGCAATAAAGAATGGTGGTTAGCTGAAGCTCAAGGGCAAAAAGGATATGTGCCAGCTAACTACCTTGGGAAGATGACTTATGCTTAAGGAAATAAGGCTTTTGACCCACTTTCTGACAGGCTGTTGACTGACTACCTCATAAGGCTGACATTACAATGTTGGCCAGGAAATCAAGAAACCTCCAGACTACATGAACTGGTACTGTGTCAGGTTTTAAAGAAGGCTGTGCCTCCTAACAAGGTCATTCAAACTGTATTATGAATATATATTGAAGGAAACACTAAACAAACTGAGACAGCCCAAGCTCCAACTATGAATTGCTAAAAAGTGGAAATATTTTGAAAAAATGTATTCTTTACCATCGTAAAAAGTTGGCCTTAAGGACAAGGTGTTTTCAATTTACTGTATTTTATTTTTCTGTATTATGTATTTTGCCTCAAAATGTTGTTTTTCATGTCTGTTGCACAGGCATGCACATATACACCATATTCATTACATGGTTTATATGCATTTATGTGTACTATATGGTATAGATTATCTACCATATATGTATGAACCAGGGAGTATACTAAATACACGTAAGAATAGGAATTGATCATTAATAGCCAACTAGAAGTCTGATGTCAAGCCTCTCTTTATGTTTTGAATGAAAAACACTAAATAACAAAATAATAAAAACATATTAACATTTACCAAATGCATACCAAATGCCAGACATTGTTTGATATGATTTATATGTGGTAACTTATTGGATACAACATCATGAGGAAACTGTGGCCCTAGGAGGTAAAGCTAGCCCAAGTCACATTTTTAGTAAGTGGTAGGGCTGGGCTTCAAACTGAGGTCTGGTCCTGGGGTCCACACTCCTAGGTGCTGCACGGTGCTAACCCACTAAGGGTGTCCACATTTGCCATCATAAAGCACTCAGTGAGGCAAACAACAGACAGTGATGAGGCCCATTTCTCTCAGGTCCACATTTACGTACTGAGAAAGTTTTCACAATCAAGGGCTATAAAAACTTCCATGATTCTGGCCTAGAAGAAATGAAATACCTGGGTTTATTTATTTTTATTGTTTTGCTTAAACATTTTTGAAAGCATGCTTGTTTAAAAACTATCCTACATGATTGCTAATGATATTTTAATGAAGAAAAATTTTTTGATCACTCCATTATTTGGATAATAACTGGGGAATGTATGTTCCATGCTCTGAGCCAAGCTGCAAATATTTTTAGTTGACAATTTGTACTTCGACAAGGCAGGCACTGAGGTGAACATTTGCTAGAACACAAGGTCCTGGAACACAGAACTTTACTTTGGGAATTGCTCAGAACTGTCCCCTCAAGTTTCAGGCATATTTTGTTGAGACATTTTATTGAACTAAAGATGCTTCTATTCAAAAGATAACATTAAATTAAATTTGACTTAGTGGTTTCTTTTTAGAACCAAAATAAGGCAGACTTTCATTGTCTACATAAATTGTGCTAATATGACATCAAATTTTAAGATTAAAATTAAAATTACTTAAAAGATTTTATTTGTATGTGTGTACTGTTACATATATCCTGGAGAACTACAAATAACAAAATGAAGAGTTATGCTTTTTTCAGAGGGTTGCTGACTATAACATACATGTGTGACATGTACCTCCACATATTCATAAGACATTTACATGACAGAAAACATTCTATTTTATGATAGAGTAGTCCCCTGTTATCCACAGGGGACTTGTTACAAGACTCCACTGGATGCCTGAAACCTCAGATAGTATCCAAACCCTATACATACTGTTTTCTTCTGTATATATAAGTACATACCTATAATAAAGTTTAATTTATAAATTAGACATAGTAAGAGATTAACAATAGTAACTAATAATAAGATAGAACAATTATAACAATATATGTAATAAGTTATGTGAATGTGGTCTCTCTTTCAAAATAGCTTGTTGTAATACACTTACCCTTCTTGTGATGATGTAAGACTACACAGTGTCTATAAGGGGTGTTCAACCTGCGGCCCATGGGCTTCTTGTGGCTCAGGATGGCTGTGATTGTGGCCCAACACAAAATCCTAAATTTACTTAAAACATTATGAGATTTTTTTGTGATTACCTGTCACAATGTATTTAATGTGTGGCCCAAAGCAACTCTTCTTCCAGTGTGGCCCAGAGATGCCATAAGGCTGGACTCCCCTGGTATGTGGTGAGATAAAGTGAGGTGAATGACATCATAGGCAGTGTGATGCAGCATTAGGCTACTATAAGCACTGGGATACTTCAACAGTCGAACTGATATCCTCAAAGGCTGCTGAGTAAGGGGAAGTTAGAGTATAGAGTGTGCATACGCCAGACAAAGGGATGGTTCACGTTCCAGGCTGGACAGAGCTGGATGATGGGAGATTTCACCACACTGCTTAAAATGGAGCATGATTTAAAACTTGTGAATTCTTTATTTCTGGAGTTTTTCATTTAATATTTTTGGACTGTGCTTGATGGGGGGGCAAGTGAAACTGTGGATAAGAGGGGTACCAGTTGTTCCTAAAATTCTTAACCTCAATATGGTTTTATAAGGTTCTACTGGTAAGTCATTTTTGCATAAAATATTTTTTTGTTTTGAGTTGGGTACCAAAAATAGATTTTTTCTTTTTCTATACACAGAAACATTTGTACCCAACAATAAAATATAAGTAAATCCAGTTTTCCTAGGGTAAAGCAAAAGGAAATCCAAACTTGTTACTTGTGGGAACAGTGAACATGCCCAACAACCAAGACAGTGGGGAAATGTTGCACACATACACACACACAGGTGTGGCAAATGTAGGTTTACAGTTGTGAGTACCTAAAACAGGTTTAGGTGAGTACCTAAAATCTTGTATTATTATTAATTTATTCATTATGGTATTATTTTCCATAAGAACAACTGTAAACTACTTTTGTCACACACTGTGTATGTAATTTAAATTGTGACCTTAATATTTCCCACAAAATGAAAAATTATATAAGTAGAGTAGAACATATTTGCTTTTCTGGCTGAAATATTGACTAGATGTATAGGAAAAGCTTGGTCTACTTGTTGTGTGGCCCTAGGATTGATGCTTCCTGTCTGACATATGAAGAAACCACATCATTAAATTCATAGCTGCAGTCAGCTGTTGAGCCAGAGTTATAAGGATCCACCCACTGCAGTCCCCCACTCCTATGCTGAACGTACATTACTGTAAAACTACATTGTTACTATTTTAAAAATACAACCTACATTCCACGTGGCATTTAGGCTTATTATTTTTTACATTATATAATACCCTCATTATTTTAGTATGTTGTTTAAAATCAAATAACTGTAATTTTGAGGCCAGGCATCATTTGGTTTGGCCCAAGGGAAATAAAATCCAAGACAGTTAAGGTATATATAAGTTTTCAAAAAGTTTTAAAAAATACAACTGTCACTGACATATGCTAATGTAATTATTTTCTACATTATAAAAATTAAATGTTATTGTACAGTAAAGAATTCCCTGAAATAATTTTTTTTTAACCAGGAACAAAATGAATTTTTTGTGGCTATTTTTGTTTGTAAAACAAATAAGTGTGTATATATATACACACACATATATATATATTATGTAGAACTTATTTGTAAATAGGTGATTTAAATGAACAATATACATAATTAAGTTTAGAAATTATTTTTTAAAATGCAGTAATACAAAATTATCATGGGTGCTTAAGTCTTGGAAAGAAGTTGCAAAGCCACTACTTGAACAGTCCTTACATTTCAGAAAAATAATCTTGTTTTAGTATTCACTAGTATAAAACAATTCTATGAAGGTTGACTTTTGCAGGAGATATAATGCACATTGTTAATCATATGAATGCAGCACTGCAGAAAATAAGTACTGGTATAGTGCACATTTTGCTTAAAATAAAATTTGGACATTTAGAGGTGGCTATTAAGTGCCTGTCACTATCTGTGATGAATAGTTCTGATGATTTTACAAAAATTAGTTTTCAATATTGAAACATGGAATTAAAAACATTTCACTTTCCATAAGCTTCCTTTTGTCTATTGTAAAAGCCTCTTAAATTTATGTGAATAAAGAGAGGAAATCTTTATATTTTAAAATGGCAAAAAAACCCATCCACTTTGTTTAAATACTGTTTGTTCTAACTATGACTTAAAGATAGCCAGTGCACTGCTCAACACGGAAAGCATCTAGGCCTCACAGATTCAAGCTAAAGTGAACATACACGTTTACATTATAATTGACGAGAAAGTAATTAAATTTCATTGACTGGAAGGACATTAGATTTTATACATTTTAGGGATATCTTACTATTCATAGAATGCTAGTATTTTTAAAGTCTAATTTTAAAAAACATCCCTCCTCTGATAATGTACTATGTAATATATAAAAACTTAGTCATTAAATTTTCTATGATTTACAAAATTATTCCAATATATGTTATCTTCACTCCAAGTTACTAGAATTCAAGCTGAGTCTCTGAGGCCAGTTACAGCTTTCACGATACTACACTCTACATACAGGCAAGATTCGCTTTAGATTTTCAGGAAAATGAGTCACACTTTAGCATGTGGTGCTACCATACAGAGCTGTTCTTGTTTGAAAAAAAAATCTAGAGGATGTATTCTTAATAAATTAAATAAACTTATCTTACTTAAAAATCATTATGGTATGTTAATGCATTTATGTTTTTCTCTACTTATATAATTTTTATAATTATTGCATTAATAAAAATTTCTGTAAAATGATGTATTTCCTATATCCTGTGGTCAAACAATTTATAATATCAGTTACTAATAGATAGTACTATCATACCTCATTAGGAGTCTGAATCACCTAACCTTTGAATATCAGATGCCTTCAATTTTATCTCATTAATTATCTGTGTTTTACAGAGGAGAAAACAGAGGATCACACAGCTCATACATGGAGGGACAGGAATTCAAAACCAGGTCTCCTGACTTCAGACCAATATTCTTTCAATGTTTTCCTTTGTTCCTCCTCTCTTTAAAGTCACTAAAATCTATGATTAATTAATCTTACAGTAAGCAAAATATGCAAAAAGAGAAAAGTGATACTGCATAGATCTCTACTAAAATGGGATTTCAACTTACAATTCTGAAGAGCTTCCTTTTTGGCTCACCTAATTATGTCTATTCGTTCACTGAGCCAATACACATTCATTGAGAGCCGCAGTGGGAATACCACGGTGGGCAAGATGAGCACAGTCCCTGCCCTCACACATCTTAAACTCTAGTGGGAAACACAAATTATACATAGCCAAATAAATTGATTGATGTAAGGCTGGCCATTTCATCACATGCTCAGATAAAAAGCCTTGTAGCTCAGTTAATGATACAGGAAAACCAAGGTCTAACAGCTACTTGAAGACAACTAAACTGACACCAGATATATATGTGTAAAAATACCAATGTGAACTTTACATTATTAGATGTATGAGTACTTATACATATGTACAAATTCTAAATATAAATATTTGTACTCAAAAAGAGCAGTACTCAACAAAAGGTAAACAACTTCCTTAACAAATCTCAGTCTTCTCTGAAGTACTGCAGAAATTAAAGTCATTGCTTCTCATG